CGGCGGTGCGGTGATAGCCGCCCCTACGATTCTGAAACTATAAAGCTATAAACTATTTTTTATTTCACCAGGTATGGCCCACTGAGCTATGTCGCTATTTTTCAGAAGCGACCCGACCACAAATCATAGCTCAACGAAGTGGCTTATTATGTGGACATTTGTAGCAGCCAAATATTCCAAAGGCGTGATGTCGATCCTAAATGTGGAGGAAAAAAACGGAGGAGCCGGAGAAAAATCAATGCGGCCACGGGGAGAGAAAGACACGCAAACTCCAAATACCCAGCAGGCGTCAGGGTCAGGATGGAACCCACGACCTCTCGTGTACTAGTCGAGGTAGTTAACATCCAGCTGCTGTGGCGCCCCCGTTCCGATTGGGCTGGAGCCCACCCACCAGTTGGTCCCAGGGCCCGAACCTTTCAACAACAGCGGCTGGGGCCTTTTACCCGCGACCCCACAGGGCAGCCTCGTGGGGGGGGGGGGGTCCACAGTGAGCCCCAGAGGCAGATGTGGAGGTGGCCAGGTGGCTACGGGGGGCCCGGCTCTCTGTTGCTTCCTTGGTATGGCGCTGGTAACAGAAAGGGAGCCTTCCTTGCCCACAGACATCTGGCAGGTCACCAGTGTTGGTTATAAGCCAGCCTTGACTCTGCTGACGTGAACAAATTCACTTCCCAGATGGCTGTGTGGTGGCCGATGGGATGTGCAATGTTTGCATCTCGTACCCAACGCCAGGAGTTCGTTCTCCCTCCTGCGGTCCGCCCTCTCGCGCGCGTCCTTCTCCAGCAGTGACATGAAGGCGTCTGTGAGAGTGTGAGAGTGACACGGAGGAGAGTGACACCATAACACCCACGGGAAGCAGAGTGGAGTCTGTGGTGCAAAAGGGCAGTCCAGGCAAGATGAGCGGTAAAGGAGAAGGGATGCCGGGATGGAAGTCCCCAAGACGGACAAAGAGGAGGGCACAGCTCAAGATGAGCAGTGGCAGGAAGAATAAGGAAGGAGGAGCATCGGTGCGGGAAACGGAGGAGGAGGGGGAGAAAGTATCGGGCAAAGATGTCAGGGATGAGATGGTGGTGGTGATGGGAGGGGAGGGAAGAGAGGGAGAAGAGAAGGAAGGAGCGAGCAGGAGCGAGCCACGTAGAGGAGCATCAGAGTCTGTTTTCACAGCAGGCGGGGAGAGGGTTTCAGAGTGGGGGCAGTCCCACAGAAGCCACGTGATTTACTGGAGGCTTCGGCTGATTCCCATAGACGAGGTACTTAAACGCCTTGGCAAGCCTACCCGCCTCGCATCACATCTCAACCATTTCAGTGCCCTGCTGCAGTCCTGTTGCGGCACGTGGTGTGCACAGCACCAGCCTGCAGGTGGGCACTATTCTGCCAGTCGGGATAAACAATCTTGACGATGTGGCAACAAGCAATGGGAGCATAGACGCAGCGAATGGGAGGTTGATGGTTGGTAAGACGCGAATGCTGGAGCCCTCAAGGGTGCACGAGGGATTCACGATGCATATCAGGGACGGAAGAATGCAACGAGCAGAGAAATTATCTGCTGATCTCTGTCGAAAAAATAGTATTTGGTACTGCTGATGCTGCAGTGGCACAAGCATACATAAGACAATCGCCAACAAGAACATTGTGCGTGTGGGGGGGGGGCCTTAAAAGAAAATAAATTAAGTCGACGTTTCGGGCAATGACCCTGCTTCACGTGAATTAATTCGTTACTCTTTACGTGTAGTTGGCATGAGACGTTGTGGTGTGCGCGCGTGGTGGCCTCACCGCTACCTTGGCTCATCTCCGGGCACTGTTTTCCTTCCTGAAAACAACCGCAATGAAACAACCACAATTAAACACCAACGACAACCATGCTCATAGTGAACCCTACTTACACGGTTAGAAAGTCAAGTTTAAAACGAAGAACCCATTGCATCGCAACATCCCTGATGATGATGATGATGACACCATTGATGACAAAAAGTAAATAATTCCAAATTGTAATGTCGTGCCACCACAAGGGGTTCGCTCCTCGCTCTGTGGATGAGGAACCACAGACGAGCGGGAATGCAGCAGCCACGCAGTTCCCCAAGCTCTGCGGACCTCTATATGAAGATGTTTTCAGCCAATTAATATTCATGGTGATCATGATCATCATCATCAGGATACACCTGATGACGATGATGCAGGTGGTCGTGATCAGGTCGACGACCGCATGGAACTCCGCAACGCCTGGCGAGAGTGGACGCTGCGTTTCTCACCATGCTGCCCGGCGCCGGTGCCGCGGCAATGACGGTGCGGTCCAGGCGTACCCGGCAACCGTCAACCTCCTCCTGATCGTCATGGAGATGCTGAATGGTGCGGTCGGCCTCCGCCAGCGCCGCTCTCCGGAGCTGCTCGTCCGGGGAGTTCATGCGGGCGAGCAGGTCAGCTGGGCGACACGTGCACAGAGGTCACACTTGTATCCTTTTCTCACTGGCACATCTGAACCGAGCCGAAGCTGTCCTGACCCAGGCCATCGTGGCTCAGGAGGCGCCATGTTGTTTTTTTCCACTAGCGGAAACCGTGCCGTGCCGCCGAAGTAACGCGCAGTGAACGAGCGGAGACGCCGCGTCCTCAGCGCGTACCGACCGACGTCACACGCAGCGATTGCGTCATTTGTCCCTGGCCCTGCTTGGCCCCGAGGTAACTTCAGTCGCCTGACAAGAATGGTGGGCGCACCTTCGGTTTAGTACCGGCCGGTCAAAACCACCGCTGTCATAGGCGGCTCGGCTCGGATGTGACGGTGGAAACGGCAATGCCCTGCCCTGCCCTGCCCACCCGTGGCGTGCGCGAGACTCACCGACGTCGTCCACTCTGCCCAAGAAGCGACCGAGTTGCTCGTCCGTGCTCGAGTCCACCATGGCCGCTGTGACCGTGTTGCTCTGTGCGTGTCTGCTCTGATGAATGGGACACACGCACAGCGGGATACAATACACACACCACACACACCACACACACCACACACACCACACACACCACACACACCACACACACCACACACACCACACACACCACACACACCACACACACCACACACACCACACACACCACACACACCACACACACCACACACACCACACACACCACACACACCACACACACCACACACACCACACACACCACACACACCACACACACCACACACACCACACACACCACACACACCACACACACCACACACACCACACACACCACACACACCACACACACCACACACACCACACACACACCACACACACCACACACACCACACACACCACACACACCACACACACCACACACACACCACACACACCACACACACCACACACACCACACACACACCACACACACCACACACACACCACACACCACATACACACACCACACCACACACACCACACACACCACACACCCCACACACACCACACACACCACACACACACACCACACACACAACCACACACACACCACACACACACACACCACACACACACACCACACACACACCACACACACACCACACACACACACCACACATACACACCACACACACACACACCACACACACACCAGGCCAGTACCACGCCTGTGCCCCCTTCTCCGTGCGTCTCCCCCCGGCTCGTGCCCGCGTGGCGCTCTGTGGGCGCTCTCTCAGCGCGGTCCCAGCAGCAGCAGCGACAACTCCTCACGAGCCTCGTTAATTACCACCTCGGCTCATCACCCCCCACACACACACCAATTAACCCGATGTGCCCGCTTCATTAATCAACTCCTCGAGCAATCATCGGGACTCGTCGAGCAGCACGGAGACCCATCGTGAACCCTGACCCCCAACTCTCACGGAAGGCGCCGCGGTTTCCATTGAACTCACGCCAAGATCGCCTTCACCCTCCCGCCTTCACCCTCCCTCCCTCACGAGTTCGATCTCCCGGGCGGGCAGCGCCACGCGAGGTGCGTGCGGGGCTCGGTCGGAGTGGCGAGCTTCCCGATTCCCGGCGTCCCTCGTCTCCACGGCGACGCGCGCGGACGTCACGTGACCACCCGCCGTGCGTGGTTGTGAATGAATGGCTCGACGTGCGCGCGAGTGAATGAGTGAGTTGTGAATGAGTGAGTTGTGAATGAATCGCCTGATGTGGGCGAGTGAACGAGTGAGTTAATTGTGATTGGGTCGTCTGATTTTTGTGCGAGTTAATTAGTTGTGAATGGATGACTTAATTTTTTAGCGAATCAGTTAATTATGAATGATTCCGCTGTTTTAAATCTAAACGAATCAGTGAACGTGAATTAATCAGCCGATTTGCGAGTGAATCATTTCATTATGAACGTTTCAGCTGGGCTTTTTGGTATCTGAATGAATCGGTGAACGTGCACTTCATCAGCTGATTTGCGAGTGAATCAGTTTGGCCAGGTAGGCCTCTTCGAGTGTCGTGACTGTTTCATTTCTTTCCAGGAGGGTCCTGCCATGTCCCAGGCGAGTCATCGTGCCGTCTCACTTTGAGCAGCCACGCCGCCGGAACGCAGGTTACCAAACTCTTGCGAATGGGGTTCAAGGGATCTTGGATGTCTCCACCGTGATTGAAGCGCAGGGAGCCTGGCGCCGGACATTTCCTGTAAAGACCCCACCGCAGTGTGTGGTCACATCACCACCACGGCTGCGTCGGGAGGCCTTCGTCCAGAGGTCGATCGACAATAGGCCGTCTATCAACGTTGGGTCGACTTAAATAGTGAGAGCACTCGATGCTGCAACCCAGACTGGATATATGTATGGGACCTTTTTTACGGGTAACAATAAAACGGGTGTCAAGATGTCCAACTAGACACGCCTCTTGCCAGGCATCAAGTTTGCATGAGCCACACTTGCTTGTGGTAAAACATGGAAACAGCCTCCTTTATAACCTTGCCGCACCAGTGTTAGGCCAGTGTCTTGAGTGGTGGTGATTATTATAATTATGCAAGTGACAAACGGGGCTTTTAATGTCCCCGTGAAGAACTTACAGATCTCTATTTATTTCTCGATATCCGATATAACCTGGCACGTTCTGTTTACATAACAACCCTGACTAGTTGGATGTGTCGGGTGATGGCGGGTTTATCGACAAATATATATTTACGCGATCTAACCCAAAAAACCTCTATTACAGACTTTCTTCTGTTTGCTGTTAACATCGAGAGAGTGTCAACCCCGCCGTGAAATGTTTCCGTGCAGAGTTCGATTCCTGACTCGGGTTTACGTCGCTTGTGGGCGATGTCTGAAGTACTCTTAGGCTGCTTCGTCCCATGTGGGAATAATTAAGTGAAAGTCATTAAGGGTCTCATAGATAGGAAACACATTAACTTTGCAAAGAGGTTATATTCTCGTCCAAAATTTCATTCCAGCCATCAGCTCGAGATGGTTGCTATTTTTTTGCTACGATACTCCGTACCCTGACTTACAGCTTTCGTGACTGCAGGAGTTCGTATTCTTTGGGTCTTTCGGTAGGGTCGCGTAGATGGGTTCAAATTAACATACAAATGGGTTTGGGCCTATCTGCATGGCTTTATCGGGAGACCCAAATAATATGAACTCCGTACCCCGGTGAGCCGAGTTAAATTCTCACCCGTGGCTAACATCAGTGGCGAGTGATCGATCTAAACCGGTCGTGCACCAACCAGTATTGACCTACGTGGTGAAGTCTGGTCAAACTACACTTGTGATCGACATGGTATGGGAAGGTATTCATTTTAATATCACAACTAATATTATTATGCTTGTTTACCCATAAACTTAAACTAAACGTTTTTTTTCACCAGCGAAATAGCTCTTTTTCAGAAACGACCTGGCCACAAATGATAGCTCAATGGAGTGGCATATCACGTGGGGATGTATAGCCGGCAAATACTCTCAACGCGTGATGTCGATTATAAATATGGAGGGGAAAACACCCGGAGGACCTGGAGAAAAATCCACACGACCACGGGGAGAGAGACACGCAAACTCCAAACGTACAGCAGGCGTCAGGGTCGGAATCGAACCCACGATCCTCCTGCATAACAGGCGAGGTAGTTAATATCTCCTAGCCACGGCAGCAGGGAGGTAACCCAGAGCAGGTGGAGAACGTTACAAACTCCACACAGACCCCCACGCCCAGGTCAGAAATCGAACCCAAGCCCCCTGTTGCTGTGAGCCTCGAGTGTTCACCACTGCGCCACCACCCGTGGACCTGGCAGTGGACCGGTAGAGAGTTGCGTGTTGCATCGATTTAGAAGGGCATACCTGAACCGTACCAATGACAGATTGTAACATTTATATTTTAGCATGTACGCATCAAAATGTAGATGTATTTTTGAACGAAATTACTTTACGTGGTATGAATATAGTTATGATACCGATAAAAGCCTGGCGTAAAGTGAAGCTCATGAGATAAGCGACTGACGGGATCTTTGGGGGGGGGGGGGGGTTCGTAATGAGGGACACTGATAAGACAGTCCGTCACTTAAGTCAGCGTCTTACAAGCTTGACGATTTAACATGGACATTCAGTCCTGCTTTCGTTCTCACGAAATGTCTTTACAGAGCATACAAGTGCACCGCCTAGTGTTCGTAAGGTGCAACAGCATAGACACGAGGACGCGACAGTCCTGTAGTTTAACACGTCGACTTTCGCGACCAATTTACGCACATTTTTTCGTAAATTTTACGCGATCTAACCCAAAAAATGATCTATTATGGAAGTCCTGTAGTAGTCCCGTAGTGCCATCTTCAGACGCCGTTTCTCTGAGACGAGGGTCACGGTCACACTGTTGCTGTTTTTTCCTGGATTTTTCTGTTGCGTGTAGTGACTTTAAGATGTTTCTTGTTCATGTTTTTGTTTTGTTGCGGTTGCACCCGAGTCAAGAGCCGCATGGCTCACAGGGTTATACCTAATAAATGAAAAAAAAACATCCTGCATGGACAGCTCGCCCTTGACACCCCGAGCTGTGTTGAACTCATTGTTCCCATTATCATCATTATTACTAGCAGTATTCTCGTCTTGTGACAGCAGCCTCAACAGCAGCGACAGCGCGGGAGGGGCAGGGAGGGCTCCGAGTCCAGCGTCGAGTCCGGTCAGGCGGCGGGCACTCGTGGACAAAGAGCGACGTCGCAGCGAGTCGCTGGAGTGCATCCACAGAGCGGGTGGTGGTGCTCCCACGTTGGCACCGGTGTGTTTGGGTCAGGTTGGCTAAACGAGGCGCCCTGCCTGGTGTCGAACCTGTGGAGCAGGGCCCGTGATGGAAGGCGTGGCAGGATTTAACTCCATGGGCCTTTGGCCTTTTCACTAAAGTCTAAGTCTAAAGGAATATAAATATATGATATACACTGGATATACTGTGTATATATTAATGTCCCAAGGTGGAAGCTGCCGCATCCTCCTCAACAAGCGGGACAATCCCTGGGAAAACCAGGACAGTTGGCTAGCCTCGTGAACACTCATCAGTCAGCTGAACACATGTTTAATATATTTTTTTTTAAACATACATATAATGCAGAAACCCTCCAGAAAAAAACCCAGTCCCTCCAACTCAGTGTGGCTTCCTGGGTAAATCAATAAAGATTAATATTATAACAACCAGAGCACTGCTAGCGGGGGGAGCGAGCAGAGCGACTCCGCGTCGCTGCTTAATACTGCGATCGCGACCGAGAATAAATACCGACCGAGTTACACCGCATGCACACGACACGCTCATGTTTGTATAATACTGTGAATGTAGAAAAAACACGAATGGTCGCATTGACACCCGATATATAAGAAGACAGCACACAGCACAGCAACAACGGTCCCGGAGGGCCACCAGACGTGACACAGGGGACCCGTAGGGAAGGGAAACACCGGGACACCAATGGTACAGGACATGGGGGGGGGGGAACCCCACCGGATACACGGGGACACCATACGAGGGAGACACAGGGACACAACGGGAGACACAGGAACACATGGGAAAGGAGGCACTGGGATATGGGGAGACACGGGAATACCAGGAGCTAGGGTTAGAGCTAGGCCAGGTTGTATGTTGAACTTCTTTCGCACCGTACGTAGCCAACCGTGCTTATCGCAGGTCCAGGACAAACTGAACACAAAAAGCAGTTCCAAGGAAATGAGTTTTCAATCTCGATTTAAAAGTGCATTGCTCCAGTAGCATCCTAATATCGGAAGGCAGCGCATTCCAGACGGCTGCAGAAGCGCACCGTAAAGCGCACCCTAAAGCGCACAATGCCCAGCAGCTGAATAGGTTAGGGCGATGTTTCGGGGTTGGGTTTATGGATATGATAAAGATCGTAATGTGGGCTAAGGTTGTGATTATGCTTACGGTTAGGTCTGTGGTGGCAGTTAGGTTAAGGGCTAGGGTCAGGGCTCGGGTTATGGTTATAGCTATGGTTAGTTTGAGCTATGGTTGGATTAGGGTGAGAGTTAGAGATAGGATTAGGGGCAATGCTTTAGGGCGACAGCAGCGTTGGGGCGATGGTTAGGGCCAGGGCTGGTGTGACCACGACCCTGCAGGGCGGTCGCGGCACCAGCGAGCTCATCGCCTGGCTGGTTGCCGGGGTAACCGGGACAAAGAGATCGGGGCACGCGTGGTGATGGCAGGAGACGAGAAGCAAACACGGCGGCTGCATTGTGCACACATGAAGCTCGTGTGTGCACACCCACGCCATGCGCTCCATACACACAGCCCTGGGCATACCATACACACGCCCTGAATACGATACACACACGCCATGCAAATCCACATACTCCATACACACACACTATGCATACCACACACACACGCCCTGCAAACCCACATACTCCATACACACACACTATGCATACCATACACACACGCCCTGCAAACCCACATACTCCATACACACGCCATGCAAACCCTCATACTCCATATACACACTGTGAACACGATACAAACTCAAACACCCCCCCACACACACCGTGGACACTACACACACGCTAAACCCTCCTCACCCGTCGCGTTTAACAAATCGCTGCCATTCTCCGTGGAAAATTTAGGAGATGGAAAAAAAATGAAATCCGGGATTGAAATGGATGAATAATGACCAGCACGTTTCTCCTCGCATCTCTGCGAGCGGCAGCCCAGCACTGACAGGGGATTCATTTTAGTTTTAGTCAGGGCTCTATGTTCTCACCCGTCACACCACTTCCAGTATACCTCTGGCCGCTATACCTGTGGCTGCGAGTCAAGTGCCACCTTACGCCAGTCAAACCGCCACCAGCGACCCGGTAAAATAACTGCCGAGCTCAACAACAATCAGCCGCAGTACCGCCACAATCCACACCACCACCAACAGCCCCACCACCAACATCAGCAGCATTACCACCATCACCACCACCACCAGCAAAGCAACGGTCTCCCGTGTTGCCCATAACAGACTGTTGGGACAAGCGCTGTTAGCGAACACAAGGGCAGCATGGCACGCAAGGGGGTGTGGGTGGCCATGCTCGGCCGCCTTTGCCTCCCAGTGCTGATGTTTACACACCATACAGGCTATTCATTAAGGCTGAGTTGACCTAGGGGAGGCCCAGGACCAGTTCAGATATATTGAGCGTGAATCTAACCCAGATCTCCGGGTTCGTATCGTAGTGCACTAACCACTGCGCTTCCGCTCCCCATACCAACACCAACAACAACCGCCATTCGCCACTAAGTGGCGGTGACGTCACCACGACGCTTGTGCCAGGCAATGTGCACCAACACCACGACCAGTATCACCCCCACGAGAACCATCAGCACCAACACTACAACCACCAACACCGTCAGTATCACCACCAGCAGCAGTACAGCATTGGCAATACTGCTATAGCACCACCGGCACCAATATCACCAGCAGCACCAGCAGGATGAGTACAGGTGGACTCGCACAGGAAATTTTGACTCGCAGCGAATGACTCAAAAGCCCACGACAAGCGATGCGTCGTGCGTGCATCGGAATCCGCTCGCGGGGCGTAACGTTGCCCTGCAACCACGAGAGGCGCTGCCACTCACCACAAAGAGCCAGGTCACGAATCGATTGGCGAACTTGGCATCGCGAAAAATCCCAGCCACCGGGACCGCATTGTATCGACCCCCAGAGGAATGATGGCGTTGAGTATTATACATAGGTCAACAAGAAATGTTTCGTAAACGAATTCACATTTGCTTTGCACAAGGCACCCCTGACCCCACACGTTACATCACTTGGTGTTCGCGCCATCCCGCAGTGCGGCGGGGCAATCATCGCCAAGGAAGGTGCTGCTGTGTTTCAAAAACACAGCCTGGGGTTGTTTCACAGTAGGGGGCAACGTCGCTATGTGGCTTCAATTATTTGACGAGTTATTTATATTTTTTTAAATGTTGTCAAGTTTGGACCGTGACGCTAGCACACACACACTACTCTATTTTGAATAACACCACGGGATCTTTAACGCGTCTGCTATAAATCAGACGGCGCGCAGAATGATTAATGCTCAATACGCAGCGCAGTATTAACCGGGGGGGGGGGGGCAGCCACGGTGGCTGGTATCGCTAACCTCCGCAACGAGCGGCAAAATCGCTGCGCTACCGCTCGACCACCGCGTCGCCACCCCGGACGATTGGGCGCCGAGCACGCTGCCACGGCGACGCCAGCGGTGGAACCCTCGGAGCCCTCGCCGAGCCAGGCCCCCCCGCGCACCCCCACCTCCTGGCCCCGAGCCCCGGGGGCCGTGGGGCCCGGCGGTTTTGGCACAAAAACTCCGGCGGTGATGCCGCCGGTGTTATCTGGCTCTGAAAGGAGCACCTTCTATCCGGCCGGTAAAAGGGGCCGACGCCGTAATCTCCGTGCTGTCTATGTTCCGTGCGCGTTATCCGTGAGACGCGTGCGGGGGGAGGGCCCCTGCCACCCATGCTAGGCGGGGAGGCTGGTGGGGCCCCGGGCCCCCCCCAGGGGGCTCCCGTCCGGGTTTGGGGTCCCGGGCTCGGGAGATTCGGCCACGGGGGAGCCCAGATCCACGAAGCTGCCCATTGAGCCCCCCGGCGCGAACAGAGCGCCCTGCACACACACAGCCACACGGAGACGTGCGTAGACATTCAGAGATCTAGACAGAAACAGAGGTACGTAGAGAGAGGGAGACACACATAGAGCCACTCTGCTGCACTCACGTAGAGATATATATGGTGACGCACAGAGAGACAAAGAGATATACATGCAGAGACATAGCTACACAAAAACATAAATACACAAAGACACACATACTGACATATATAGACAGATAGATACACACACATACATACTGACACACGTAAACAAAGAGACATACACACATTCACAGGCACAGGCGCATACAAAAACGCACATGCTGTAGACATAGACGCATACAAGAGAGAGACACAGACAGTGCGATGGAGTGAGACAAAGGAAGGCAGAGAGAGTGACACGGACCTTGGAGCCGGAGACACAGAACAGCTCAGTGAGGTTGGGTCCCACTGAGTCGGACACGAAGTTGCCGTTGCTGTAGGCGTGATGCTGCTGCTGTAGCGAGTCGCCCCCCCGCGCGTCGCCGCCCCCCCGCGCGCCAGGCCCGTAGGCGTGCTGCGCGAACGCGCACTCGTCCCCGGGCAGCGCCGCTCCCAGCGCCCCGATCTGGGAGGTGCGCACGTGGAACGGGAAGTTCCGATTGGCGGCGGACGGCCGGGTCATCACCTGCGGTCGGTGCAGAAGGAAAGGGGGAGACACGCGGAGGAGTGGGTGAGCGATTCAGTGGGTGAGTGGCTGAGTGAGAGACTGAGTGGGTAAGTGAGCAGGTGAGTGGGCGAGTGAGCGAGTACAAAAGTTCTGCATAACTGCGCACAGCGGTAGCGTGTTTGCCGCTTGTGGTTGCAGAGGTTCGCAGTTCGAATCCAGCGTCCGCCCTGGTTGTTACCACATGCTGTAATAATCGTAATCATACCACGCCGCGCATCTGCGTGCCCGCCGCTGCCTCACCAGGAAGACGGCGTGGGCGTAGAGGTGGATACCCAGCTGGATGTCGTTCACCATCTTTTCGCGCTCCCACTTCGCCATCACAAAGTTCGCGATTAGAGCCACGACCGGCACCGAGAAAAACCTCCACAAGGGAAGGGGTGAGGGGGATAACAGCCACGACTTGAATGAGCCACGCGGTTCTAACGAGCCAGAAGCGCTGGCTATCTCTCTCTCTGTGTCTCTCTCTCTCTCTCTGCATCTCACCAGAAAGTGTAGGCGACGAAGAAACGCACATAGAAGCGCTGCTTGTCGGGGTGGCGCTGCAGCGTGCGGTACACAGAGCAGCAGAACCACACGTACGCCGTCAGCTGCATCAGCATGAGGCCATAGCCCACGGGAGACTCGTAGGTGTACAGCACCTGGCCCGGGTCAAACCACTACACACACAACAGCAGCGTGCCACGCTAAGTATACACAAACGCAAAAGACAAACATCCCCCGTGTATGCTATAACAGACTGTTGGGGCAAGAGCTCTTTGTGAGCAGCACCTATGAAAAACCGCATGGCACAGGAGGGCGAGGTGGCCAGCACCACGCCCAGCCGCCTCTATCTCCCCCCAATGTTGTTTAAAACCGCACCCGAGACTCATCTAAGGCCCAGTCGATCTAGGGGAGGTCCAGAACCGGTTCAGATATTTGTCACGGACATGTGCTGTTAACGGGAATCAAACTCGGGTTGCTGGGTTGCAGAGCAGTGCACTAACCACTACACTACCGATACATTATTTCAACTTGTAACGCGCCGCACAGCATCCGCTCACTCGCGAAGAGAGAGAACATGAGGAACCACGGAGAAGTGGAAAAGGGAGAAAACATGCGTGTGAGGGGGGGAAACACTCGATGCCAAACAGATCGAACAAGCCAAGGGTATGACACCTCCTCGACACCCACTGGAAGGGAGTTTCACAACATTTGCGTGATCCACCAACCCTGATCACCACAGTACTGGATTACAGGCCGGGTGCATCCACCCGGGCGAGAACGGTGTCGTCCACACGGGTGAGCGCTTCGCTCACCTTTGCCTCGTAGATGAAGAGGCTGGCGTAGGTGGTGGTGTAGAGCGTCATGTACACGGTGAGCTTCACCACCCCTGCGTGGCTGATGCGGCCCCTGCACAGCGGGCAGCGGGGGCGACACGGCGCAACTCACGATTACCGATAGCGGTGGGGCATGGGTCAAGGTACATTCACACACACATATACACGCAGTGAAACTGTTACACGCACTTACATACGCATGCTGACACGTGCAATCAAACTCAGTGTGTGCGTGGGTGTGGATGCTTGTGTGCGTGCATTGTGTTTGTGTGCGTGTGTTTGTGTGCGTTTGTTTGTGTGCGTATGCGCGTGTGCGTATGCGCGTGTGCGTATGCGTGTGTGCGCGTGTGCACGTGTGTTAGCATGTGTGCTAGCATGTGTGCACGTGTGCGTGCGTACCGCGTAACCGTGAAGCCCTTCCCCAGCAGGATGAGCAGGAGCAGGAAGGTGAGGAAGCTGGCTGAGAAGAGCAACTTACCTGCACAGTGCACACAAACAGCCCCCCCACCCCGTAGCCTTTAACGGACTGCTGGGGCAAGTACTTTGAGCTAGGCAGCACCGATGAAGGCCGGCACTGGGACACGAGGGAGTGGGTGGCCAGCACCATGCACGGCCACATCGCACCGGGCACACAATTGAGATTGATTCGACCTAGGGGAGGCCCAGGAATCCGGCTAAGATAATCGTCAACGGTGTTGTTCGTGAGGGAGAATCAAACTCGGGTCGCCGGGTTCGTAGTGCAGCACAATAACAGCGACACTACCGCTCCCCACAAAGAGAAAGTATAACAGACGATGTTCCGTTCAGTGGTCCTTCATAGCACATCAATAAAATAAAGAGACACACACGTACATACGCACGCACACAACAGACCACCCCTCTGGTGCGTCCACTCACCCAGTACGCGCACGGGCTGGTTCCCACTGCCCGTGCGTGCGTACCCTCCCCAGTAGATGCACATCAGTAGGAGGCTCAGCACTGTGGAGATGAAGAGGGGGGGGGGGGGAAGGTGAGTATTTGAGCAGGCAGCTCGCTCTCACCAACTCACTCACCCAACCACTCACTCGTTCATTCACTCACTCACTCACTGACCCCCTCTTACTCCCCCCACACAGTGGTCCACTGCTCTAACTCACTCATTCATAATTATTCACCACAATCCACCACATCCTCACCCAAACTGACCATTCACTCATCCACCCAGACTCACCAGTCGCTGACACCTGCCTGCCCACCCACTGCACACTCACTATCTGTTCACTTACCCACCCCCTCTAACAGTGTTCACTCACCCACCCACTCCCTCACTCACCTGCTCACTAACTCGCCCGTCCAAACCAATGTAACTCGACCACATGCCCGCCCGCGTACACTCGTCTGCGCGTACACAAGCGTCCGCGTCCACCCACGCACCCGCACATATACATGTATACGCGTGTGTGCTTGCACATGCCTTGCATCCCCGCAGCCGCCATGAACAGTTTGTATGTGGAGTGGAAGAGCTGGCGCTTCCTCAGCAAGTCTGCGAGACCGGGATAAGAGACCAGAAGATAATACAATACAACACACAATAAGAATCAGAATATTTATTTATACTCGAGGAATCCAATGAGCTCTAAAGCTCTTTTTCACAGATGTGCAGTAAAGCTGCTCCTGCGTCTGCACGCCGACGGGCGACGACACCTCGGTGATGGTGCAGTGCGTGCGCGCACACAGGGGGCACGGCGGCATGGGGGCAGTGTGGCGAGGGCAATAGCTGTTGGCCAAGGAGACTGAGAGGCATGCAGGTCCACAGTCGAACCCGGGCCCTTCGAAGTGTGACTGCGTCTCGAGGAGCTGGACAGACGCACTGGGCGCTTTTGTGTTGTGGGGGCGTAGGTCTCTACATTAATCTGTGGGTCTCTGGGGTCTGTGTGAGTATATGGGTCTCTATGCGAGTCCAAGGGCCTATTTGAGAGTCTGTTCAATACAACGTAGATTCATATAGTGTCTACATATGACTGAAGTCTGCCATACGAATGTGTAATTTCCACCACTGGTTCAGCAGGGCTGCAACCATGAAATGAGCATTTATGCCTCAATGCTAATTTGAGCTTGAAATCACTTTTCACTATTAATATATAGGTGAGTCACCTGTGTAAAGGTGAGTGTGGTGAGTATGGGTGGTGTGGTTGTTGAGTTACTCCTATTGAGTCGGTGAGTGTGGTATCTGTGTGTGGTTGGCGAGTTTCTCCTGCCTGACATGAGTGTGTGCGTGAGTGTGTGTACGTCACCCGCAAAGTAGCAAGACACAGCGAGAACAGCCGAGAAGACGAGCAGGTACGTGATGTCTGCCTGCAGGATTCCTGAAAACACACGCACGTGCAAACATGTACGGGACAAAGATCCCCGTATCGCCCAAACAGACTGTTGGGGCAAGTGCTGTTAGCGAGTAGCATATATGAAGGCCAGAATGGTACACGAGGGGGTGGGTGGCCAGCACCACGCCCGACCACCTTTGTCTCCCTAGCGGCTATGTTTACACACCGCACCAGGTACTCATTTGAGGCTGAGTCGACCTAGGGGAGGCTCAGGACCAGTTCAAATAATCGTCACTGGTGTTCGCCGTGAGCAGGAATCGAACCCGGGTCCCCGGGTTCGTAGCTCAACGCGCTAACCGCTACACTGCCGCACCCCCCACACACACAGACACAAGTGTATGCAAATAGACCACACACACACATACATGATTATGCACACAGACAGACTCAAACATGGGAACAAAGGTACACACACATTTACAAAGATACAAGACACATGCACTTGGATCCATGTCGACATCAGGCATAGTGTGAAGGCGTGTGTGTGTGCGTGCATGTGTGTGTGCGCGTGCATGTGTGTGTGTTTGCGTGCATGTGTGTGTGTGCATGCGTGTGTCCGTGCTTTCACCAGGTCCGTACCGAACTCGTCCGCAGAGAAGTGCCGAGTCCAGAAGGAGTCTCCATTGGTCAGCGTGAGCTCAAAGTCCACGACCAAACCCCCACCCTTGGCAGCAAAAGACAAAGACGCCACTGATGTTGGCCGTGAGCAGGAATCGAATCAGATGCCCCCTATAGTCTTAACAGACCATTGGGACAAGTGGTGTGGCCTGGACTATGCCCGGCCAACCTTTATCTCCCCAGTGCTGATGTTTAATACACAACACATCAGGTACTGATTTAAGGCTAAGTCGACCTAGAGGAGGCCCAGAACCGGTTCAAAAATGTATCACTGATGTTGGCCTTCAGCAGTACTCGAACTTGGATCGCCGGGTTCGAAAAACAATGCACTAATCACTGTGCTACCACTCCACACATATACACACACTGCTTATACATGTACGTATACACCACATGCAAACACGCACGCACACACACGCACACATACGCTCATGCACACACACGTAAAACGTTCAGGTGGTGGGTGTGATGACCGCACGTACGCATGTTATATGAGCGTGTTGTGTGTGATGTACACGCACACACGTGTGTGTAATTTACACGCACACACATGTGTGCGTGTGCCAGACTTACTTCGCACTTGCTCAGCACGATGTACCACCAGCGCTCACGCACCGAGCGGAAACTCCGCGAGCCTCGACACTCCAGCATTCCCTCCACGACCTGAGGGGTGACAGGCGGCGGGGACAGGCAGGTTGGGGCCTAGTGGCGGTTCAGTGGTGGGTGACAGACACAGCAGTAACACAACACAGCGGTGCACTGACAGAGACACACAGCAACACAAGCAGGTGGACTCACCTCGCAGCCCGACCAGGTGTACTCTGTCGTCAGGTTGATCACCTGGTTGTTTTCTGGCCGTAGGACCTGTTCCTTCTGCTGGCAGCTCTGCTCACACAACGCACAGGCGAGCACGGGTCTTGTAACAGGTACGCGCAGGTGCTCACAGGTACGCATAGGTACGCGCAAAAACACAAAGGTGCATCTCTATACCACTAAATAAGCTCAAACCTCCAGTAAATCACGTGACTCCTGTGTGGCCACCCCCACTCTGAACCCCTCCCCGCCGTCCCCTGTATAAACAGATGCTGCATATCTTAACATATCAGAGGCTGGGTTAAGGGACTGGCTTGCCAGCTTGTTGTTATTTACGACAGGCCCTGCTGCTACTGTTGGTGGCTGTGTGGGCACTCGCCTGGGAGGGCTGCTTGTAGACGGCGGGCCACTGCGACGGGTCATCAAAGTACAGCAGCACGTTCTGGCAACAGAGCGCCTGCACACGAAGACAAAGATTCCCTGTGTAGCCTTTAACGATGTTTTGGGGCAAGTGCTGTTAGCGAGTACCTATTAAAGCTGTAACGGCACACGAGGGTGTGGTATTGGACAATACCACGCCCAGCTGCCTTTGTTTCCCCAGTGCTGATTATTTCACACTGCAACAGAAACACATTTTTCGTTTGAAAGGACTTAGGGGAGAGTTCAAATATCTGTCAACGATGTTGGCTGTGACCGGAAATCAAACTCATCTTATCTTTGGGTTCGCCGCACAGCGTGCTAACCGCTGTACCACCGCTCTCTCCATTCATGACACGGACATCGCTCACTCGTGACTCTCACGATCCACTTGCCACTCGTGCTCGTTAATATTAATCGGATACTCCGTCTCCCCACAGACATTCGAGATGGACACTACGCTCACTATCCCTGGTGGATACGGCGAGGACACATGGGGGTGGACACACGGGGTAGACACACGGGGTAAACACACAGGGTGGACACACGGGGTAGACACACGGGGGTTGACACACGGGGTACACACAAGGGTAGACACAGGGGTAGACACACGGGGTAGACATATGGGGGTGTACACACGTGGGTAGACACACGGGGTAGACACATGGAGGTGTACACACGGGGGTGTACACACGGGGGTATACACACGGGGGTAGACACACGGGGTAGACACATGGGGGTAGACACACGGGGTAGACACACGGGGTAGACACAGGGGTAGACACAGGGGTAGACACACAGGGTAGACACACGGGGTAGACACACGGGGTAGACACACGGGGTAGACACGGGGTAGACACGGGGTAGACACACAGGGTGGACACACGGGGTAGACACACGGGGTAGACACGGGGTAGACACACGGAGTGGACACACGGGGTAGACACACGGGGTAGACACGGGGTAGACACAGGGGTAGACACGGGGTAGACACAGGGGTAGACACACAGGGTAGACACACGGGGGTAGACACACGGGGGTAGACACACGGGGTAGACACACGGAGTAGACACACGGGGTAGACACAGGGGTAGACACACAGGGTAGACACACGGGGGTAGACACACGGAGTAGACACACGGGGGTAGACACATGGGGGTGGGCACATGGGGGTGGACACAAGAGGGTGGACACACGGGGGTGGACACACGGGGGTGGACACACGGGGGTGGACACACGGGGGTGGACACACAGGGTGGACACACGGGGGTGGACACACGGGGGTGGACACACGGGGGTGGACACATGGGGGTGGACACTAGGCCACCCAAGACCACTCACCTCAGGGTAGCGGAAGAGGAATTCCATCTTTCCGTAGTCGGTCAGGAAACAGAAGCGCGTGAGGAAGAGCCAGTCCTAGACGCGACACGGAGACACGTGGACAAAGTCATCCCATATTGAAAGTGATGTTTGCGATAACCTGTTAAGGTCAACAGGGTGCATGTTGGGGTGCCGCAGAAGGCACCATGGCAGGCCACACGTCTCCCCAGTGTTGATGTTTACATTCTGCACAAGGTACTCAGTGTAGACTAATGTCCTAGGGGAGGCCCAGTGCAGGTTCAATTTTAACTCGCCACTGATGTTAGACGTGGGTGGAAACTGAACTTAGGTAGCCGGGTTTAAGGCGCAGCGTATGAACCACGGCAAACACAAACTCGTGAACACACAGGCATACATGGGCACACACGTGTACATAGCCGGGTTAAAACACCCACGTCTATGCACACCCAAGTGGACACACATACATGCACCTGTGTGTGCACCTAACCACAGGTACACTGTCCTGTCAACACACTACGTGTGCACACGCACGTGTACACACCCCTATAAACACAAATACACGTGTGAACACATACACCTGTCAACTCACCCGCATTCCCACATTACCATGTGCGCACACACACACACAGTGCGCGCACATTATCGCCAGGTCACGTGCTCAGTCTCCAGAAACAAAATTGCAGTCACGGGGGGGGGTCGTGGTGGGTCTGGGGAGAGGTCCTGGTGGGTCGGGGGGGGGGGGGTCGTGGTGGGTCTGGAGGGGGGTCCTGGTGGGTTTTGGGGGGGTCCTGGTGGGTTGGGGGGGAGGGTCCTGGTGGGTCTGGGGAGAGGTCCTGGTGGGTCGGGGGGGGGTCGTGGTGGGTCGGGGTCCTGGTGGGTCTGGAGGGGGGTCCGGTGGGTTTGGGGGGGGGGTCCTGGTGGGTTTGGGGGGGTCCTGGGGGTCGGGAGGTGGTGGGGGTTCGGGGGGGGGTCGGAAAAACAGAGCATTCACGCGCGCACCTCGGGCGCGCGCACGGAGCCGCGCACGATCTTGGCCGAGGCATGGGGCGCGAAGAGGAGGACGAGGAGGTGGTGGAGCGCCAGGGCGACTGCGGCGAGGCGGACGAGGTGAAGGTGGTGGAAGGGGACGAGGTGGAGGAGGCGGAGCGGGAGAGGCGCGAGCGCCGTTCGCGACATCCCTCACCTCCTCGCTCACCTCCTCGCTCACCTCCTCACTCACCTCCCTCGCCTCTTTTCCTCACCTCCCTCACGTCTTCACCAACTCCTCACCTCTTCCCTCACCTCTTCACCTCTCTCTTGCCTCACCACCTCACCTCTCCCTTCACCACCTCGTCACCACATCCTCAGTCGCCTCTTTACCTCTATCCTCACCACATCCTCTTCACCTCCTCACCTGTTCCCTCACTACCTGTTTCCCTCACCTTTTCACCTCTTCTCTCACCACCACCTCCCCTCACCTCTTCACCTCCTCACCCCTGCGCTATCCCGCCCCGGCGCTGCGTCTCCTGCACCTGGTTTTGCCGCGCGACGTCACGGGGGGGGGGGTCTGCGTCATTTGTGTCATCGCGATCAATGGTGGTGCAGGGTCGTGACGTCACTGCGTGACGTCACTGGTCCGCTTGAAAATGACGTCACGCGCCTAAGGATTAATCATGATCGCTGTGGCCCTTCAAATAAAATATATATAAGCCCATGTTTTAGGTAGTGGCTCTTTTAGCAATGAAGGGGAATTATCCGAAACATAGTATTTTCTTCGTTCATTGTGTTTGTGCATCACTGCCAACGCAGCAGCATCACCGAATAATTCGTTTTACAGATCGTGACATCGTTCATCACCGGAGTCACGCCGGCGTGATGACGCAGCCGTTAGTGAAATCGCGCGCGTGACGTCATACCGATTGCATAATCGCGCCGGATATTCTCGGCATTGTGACGTCAAGTGGCCCTCAAGTCGCCTGGACCGGAGTGATACCGTTTCCATGGCAACGCTGTGAATTAACAAGAAAACACTGAAAAACCTCGGCTTTAAAGAAAAAAACGAACAGTGCGGCTTTAAAAGGAACATTAATCAATAGGCGTCGTTCGAGCAATGACCCTTCTTAACAGAGCATTGTCAGCGCGGTTTGGACGCTTCACACTTGACCATTTTGGATATCACTTAAAAGTTGTAATACAAAATGAACTCTGAGCCATGTCTAACAGTGGGGGTCCCCGCCTATGCACATCGGGCAGCGGTGGCACCGCACGTGACTGGCTGTAACCCAGCACTGTGGAGACGGTGAGGGTTGGTGGGTCATACAGACGACACGCTTTGTCCCGTGAGCATCGAGGACCCATACACTGGCTCGCCATCAGAAGGCAGTAGAGTACAGCGAGGTGCGGAGTTTAACACGTAGAAGGCTTTCGCGACCAATATTGTTCATAATAAAGGTTGTTGGGTTAGATCGCGTTATTTATAAATGTGTCGTAACCCTCCACCACCCGACACGGCCAAACAGTAAAAAATGTGTCACGTTTACAAAGGACAAATAGTTCACTACTTTAGCCCACCGGTGTGTTGAAGAGTGAATCAACATCATTTAAAATTTGAGTACGACGTTTCACTGGTAATTACATCCAGCTTCATCAGGCAATTGGCCAGAATGGTGAATTGGCGAATTGCCCGATGAAGCTGGATGTAATTACCAGCGAAACGTCGTACTCAAATTTTAAATGATGTTGATTCACTCTTCAACACACCGGTGGGCTAAAGTAGTGAACTATTTGTCCTTTGTAAACGTGACACATTTTTTACTGTTTGGCCGTGTCGGGTGGTGGAGGGTTACGACACATTTATAAATAACGCGATCTAACCCAAAAACCTATATTATGAAGGTGCGGAGTGATATCATCTGCCCCTTCTGTATGATGGGATAGAGCGTTTCCCCCTCGCTCCCGTGGGTTTTCTCCGCGTGCTCCGTTTTCCTCCCACGTGTATAAACGCTCGCTAATTGGCTGAAAACATCTTCATGAACAGGGAATTGCACAGCAATTGCGAGTGGCGCCAGGGCACCTCCTGGCAGCCTTCCAGCTCGTGGCTGTGTTTCCTAGGCAGCGATTGAGCCAATGAAATCAAGTTGCCACATTATGGCGAGCACGGCTGGTGATGGTGGTGAATTGCTGAAATTGTTGGTGATTTTAAATGGGAGTCTATAAGACTGATGTTATACTTTCTGAAATTATGTTGTATTTTGTGTTCTATGGAATGGCACCTTGCATGGCAGAGCTATGCTAGGCCCCAGAGATTAATAAATAATTATAATATGGCTTTACAAATCTGCCAGTGGATTTTGTTTTTCAGCCAATCCGGAGGAATGTTGAAAAGCAAGCGACATTTTGACGTTGTACAAACGTTTCACTGGAGATTACAGCCAGCAGTATCAGCTGTTAACAGCAGCTCAGCTCTCGTTGCATGAAGGAGCTTCCTGATCCCAGATCCTTCAGATTTGACCGACCATGTGCCGATTGAGAACTCCGTCGGGGTTTGGATTGTTGAGGAAACGGTGGAGGCCACGGTGTGAGCGTGGGTGATCATGTGTGGAGCGTAGGTGGAGCACAGGTGGAGCATGCTGTTAACACAAGCAGGTTGAGTGGAGCGGGCAGCGAGGAACGACCACGTGAACGGGTTTAATCAAACAATTTGTTTGTCAATATTCACAATCCGAAGAGATCAGTTTGGAAAAAAAACTAAGCAGAGACGGGCCTGGCAAACACGAAAATGAAACACATCCGAGTGCGAGGGATGGGGGTGCAGGGGGTCGGAGGTCGTGCCCTGCGGATGCGAGGGCTGGGGGGGGGGCATCGCTTTGGTGAAGGTTTGGCAAAAAATGTACTGGGCGCTCAGAGAACCCGCGAGTAATTAACGCACACTCGCACCAATCCCCCGTAGGTGTGGCCAGCACCATGCCCGGCCACCTTTGTCTCCCCCAGCGGTGATGTGTACACACCGCATCAGGTACTCATGTAATGCTGAGTTGACCTCCAGGAGGCCCAGAACCGGTTCAGATATTCGTTTATGATTTGGCTGGGAGCGGGGAATCGAACTCGGGTCGCCCGGTTTGTAGTGCAGCGTGCTAACCGCTGCGTCACTGCTCCTCACTTTATCGCACGCACACAGACACACATGCACACAGAGACGCGCACACGCTGTAAACACAACCACGCAACGACGCACGTCGCGTCCGCACACCTGGACGGCTTTCGTGATGCGTGGCCCTCGCCCGACGCGGAGACTTTGTGCAATCGTACCTCCCAGACGCGGAACGAGAAAATGTGCATCGCATCAAAGTCATCATCATCACCTCGTCCTGCCTCGCCACAGACCGTCGGCATCCATCTCAACCCACAGACGCCGCGCTTGGCCCGTCTGTCTGTCCGTCCGTTTTATCTGTAACGGCAGCTCTTCAAATATCTTTTCAAGAACGTTGTAAAAAATGTGAAGACCGTTTTTTTTTCTATCAAGCCAGAAGAAATGAGCGAAGTGAAAATTATCGTATTTAAATAAATGTTGGGTTGGGTTTATTTTTCGGTGTTGGTGCGAGTCCAGCCATGGCTTCTGCCCGGGCGTAAAAGTTCCTGGCGTCAGAAGCTCCGGAGCTGAACCATGACGAACCCCAACGAATCTGGCAATAACCGTGCTGGAGCCACGTGCTGCCCGGATCCGGTCCGGGTGGCTCCATGGTGTGGCAGGGAGGAGCAGGGGGAGGCCCCACGTGGATCGGCGCTCAGAAGACGAGGATCCGGTCTCTCCGAGTAGAGTCCAAGTCGTCATCCAGCGTCAGCAGCACCTACGCATACCACACACACGTGTGTGTGTGTGTGGTGTGCGTAGGTGTGTGTTTGTTTTTCGCACACGTATGTGTGTGTGTGTGGGTCACAGTGGGGAGTGGTAGTTTAGTGGTTAGTGCATTATGCTGCAAACCCAGCAACCCGAGTTCGATTCCCATTCACGGTCAGCACCAGTAACGATTATCTGAACCGGTCCATGGGTGTCGTTAGATCAACTCGGCCTCAAATGAGTACCTGATGCGGTGTGTAAATATCATGCATTTGTATGGTGTGTGTACATGCATGTATACGTGCAGGCGTGTGAATGCGTATACGCGAATGCTTGTATGCGAATGCGCGTACGCGAATGCGCGTGCGTGAATGCGTGTGCGTGAATGCGCGTGTGTACGAGCAGGTGTCTGTACCATGAAGGACAAGAACATGGCGATGGAGGAGATGAAGTGCCAGATGTCGTGGTGGTCGTAAAACTTGAGCAGCACGCACTCCTTGTTGCGCTCGCGAGACTGTGCGGCGGTCTCCTGCACCGCACGGCCGCCACACACGACGCATGGCTGTGACACACGGCTGTGACGTATGGCTGTCACGCACGACCGTCACGCATGGCTAGTGACGCGCGAACCTCTCGACGCACACGTGACACTTCCTGATGACACTCCGGCTACACGCTAAGTGTTGGGGTCCGATTTGACAACACGACGTCACTTCTGCGACGTCACACCAGAGGTTTTCTGCCACGAGCGGTGGCTCTGCATGGCGTCACGGCATCTGGCACAGACGACGAGCGGTCTCGCTCTCGCGCAACGCAAATGACGCGGAATAATCTGATGGCAAGATCCAGAATTGTTCTCGACAATGGGGATCGCATCCCGACCACCGCGCGTCACAAGCAGTCTTCTCTCGGGTCTGCGTGCGTAGGATCAGGGGGGTGAGGGGGGGAGCGGTGGGGTGAGAGGTCAAGCTGACCTCCCAGCTGGTGAGCCCCTGGAAGAAGAAGTACATCGCGAAGCCCCAGGCCACCGAAGCTGCCAGGATGCAGAGCAGTGGTGTCGGGCGGATGGACTCTCCGCTGCGGATCTACAAACAGGGACACGCGGGGACACACACACACAGACACACACAGACACACACAGTCACATGGGGGAAGACGGAGAGACACAGCCACACAAGAGACATGCGGGGTAAGAAACGCTTGCCACTACATGTAGGGCAAGCCAGATGATGAGGACGTGATGAAGGTTAATATGATGACGATTTGGCCGTTATGGAGAAAGAGTCCCGAGGAGATGACCAAGGTGAAACGAGCGACGACGATGATATCCTTAAGGAGCACCACGTGATCGGAGCGATGCGATTACGGTGATAACGCTGCAACTGTGTGGCTTTGAGACTAATGTGATGATGACGATGCTGCTGCCGTCAGCTCTGCTCGTGTGCTGCTGATGACGATGATGACGATGATGACGATGCACCTTCATAATGATGTAGAAGGCCGAGTAGAGGAGCAGGTTGCTCATGAAGATGGCGAGCAGATAGCTGTCGAAGTCCCGCGGCCGATACACCATGCCCCATATCGCACTGGTGGTTGGCACGAGATTATTAATGACACAGAAAATTGTACGATTCTATTCTCGCGAATGATGGAAGGAGCAATGCGATCAGCAGCTAAAGCCACTGTCCGAGGTCTGCTGTCCACGATGAGAGGGTATCAGGAGAGAGTTGGTGCAGTTTTGCTGTTCCTCCTCCTCCTCTGTTGAAGGAACGCAGACCACAGCAGGTTTACAGTGTGGTCCATAGTTTGGGTGGCATGGCCACAGTCACATTACTGTGGCTTGTGTCTAAATTTCCATTGACTAACCACGATAGCAATAACACAGTGAGAATCGGCGAGTGATGATCACGGTAGTGGTAGTATTGTGTGAAGATTCGTGTACTCACTAGGACCAGTTAAAAGCATTGCCGAGCAGCAGCAGAATGAGCCTGTCCTGTAAGAGACGCACGCACAGCACGCACCATGTACACAGTCACGCACCATGTACACAGTCACGCACCATGTACACAGTCACGCGCCATGTACATAGTCACGCACACTTGCACGTGCCCAGAACACACACACACAAAATCTCCCACTCACACATACGAGCTCCTACTCACACACACACACAATCTCCCACACACATGATCAACAACCACAACAACAACCGCCATTCGCCACTAGGTGGTGGTGACGTCACCACGGCGCGTGTGCCAGGCTATGTGCACGTTGAGGCCAAGTGTCGAATGCCCGCTGGCAGGAGGTCACGAGGCAGACCCAGGTGTCACTGGTTTGACTGAGATGACTGGCCGATGTACCACCTGTGCCCCCTACTGTGCCAACTTGCTGTGCTTTAGCCACTCGGCGCTCCGCTCGTTGTTGTGATCTCCAACACATACACGATCTCCCACTCACACACACGATCTCCCACTCACACATACAATCTCCTACGTGTGTGTTAGCACGTGCGTATGTGAGGATGTGTACGCGTGTATTATTGTGAGTTGTGCGTGCGCGTGTGTGAGCATTTGTGAAGGTTTGTGCGCGTGTGTGAGTGAAGGTTTGTGTGTGTGTGTGAGTGAACGCGTGTGAGTGCATGTGCGTGAATGTGTTCTGAATGTGTGTGACTGCGCGTGAGTGTGCGTGTGCGTGTCTCTTGCCATGTGCATGGGCCGGTTGCACTGCCGGATGCAGTCCGTGTAGAACACGTGCGCAATCGTCCGGAAAATACCGAGGCCTGTACACGCGCAAACGTACACACGCACACAGGGACAAAGATCCCCCCCAGTATCATCGCTGAACATTCGTTTTGTAGTCTGCCTGTGCCGTGGTGCCGCCCACCCTCCCCCCCCCACCACTATAGGGCTGAGTGAGAGGCATGACACGTTGACACGTGCGTGGTTACAAGGTGCTATGCAGGGTGTGTCTGCAGGGGGTGTGCTGCGGCACACTCACTGAACCTCCAGCGTCCCACGTGGTAGATGTGGAAGCTGAGCGCCAGAGCCGCCAGGATGTGGACGATGGTGCAGAGGATCCAGAACCACACGGCGCTCTTAGCCACCACCTGCACACAAGCACACACACAGAGTGTTATTGTTGTTATCACTGTGCTTGGTCACCCACGAAAAACTTCAGGAGCGTCCTGTGAAGTTTTCTGCAGTACGGGCGATGCTCATGCTGTGTGTGATTCCTAGTTGAGTGATTTTGCAGGAAATGATTCAGCATCCGGCTGCGTTGTGTGCATGGTTTTGTGGCTGTGGCAGGAAACTGCAAAAACAGAGAAAAACCATGCAGAGCACAGGGATAACATACAAACCACACTCACTTACTCAACTAGGGGGATAACATACAAAACTAACTCACTCACTGACTCACTCGAATAGGGGGAGAACATACAAACTCCACTAAGAAAGGAGCCCGAGTTGAGAATCAAACCCAGGGTGTTGTTGCGGCATGAGCATCTCCACGGTGCTGCCACCCGACACAGCCCTGCACAGCCCTGCAAGCCATACACAGCTCTGCACAGGCATGCACAGGCCTGGACAGCCCCACACATCCCTAGACAGCTGTCTCACCACGCCGAGCACGGCGAAGAAGATGATAACGGCGAAGGAGGCGTAGGCCTTGTAGGCGCTGGCGTTGACGTCCGAGTGGCGCTTCTGGTAGAGCTTGAGCATGCAGAGCCCCGCGATGATGTACATGAACGCCGTGTCTGCACGCGGTCGCACGTCGCACACGCGCACGGCAACGCACAGACGCGAAGATCCCCCGTGTCACCTGAATGGACCGTTGGGGCGAACGCTGTTAGCGAGCGGAACCTACGATGGATTGCCCGCACGTACGAGGTGGCGGTGTGGCCACCGCCACGCGTTGATGTTTACACACACCGTACCAGGTGCTCGGTTCATGCTGGGTCAACCTCCAGGAGGAGGTCCAAGAGCGGTTCGCACATTCGCCACTGTTAGTGGTCGTGATGAGCGGGAATCGAACTCGGGTCATCGGGTTCGCAACGCAGAACATGCTAACCGCTGTGCGACAACACAGTACACAGAGTATGCACAGTATATTATGTAAACTCAGACATTGTGCCACAGTACACAGAGTACTCACAGTATATTATGTAACTCAGACGTTGTGCCACAGTACACAGAGTACGCACAGTATATTATGTAAACTCAGACATTGTGCAACAGCACTGTTGTGGAGGCAGCAGTGAGGGTTGGTGGATCGCACACGGATGTTGTGAAACTGCCTTCCCCTGGGTGGGCATCGAGGTGCCATATCCTGGCTCGCCAGGGGATGGCAGTATAGCAAGCGGACCAATTGCCATCTGTTTCAATCTGTACGGGGATCGAGTGTTGCCCCCTCCTGCAAGGCGTGGATTATCTCCGTGTGCTCCGGTTTCCTCCCCACGTGAATAATAAACACAACTCATCGTTAATCGGCTGAAAACCTCCCAAAAAGAACACCCCAATGTCGTGGCAAGACCCTTCTGAAAAACAGCCCTATGACTCAGCATGGCTTCCCGGATAAATAAATACGTTTAGCAATCAAAATCAAACATTTACACCGCACACGCGATGATGGCGGCCAACGGCGATGACGGCGCGATGATGGCGCAACGACGGCGCTCGGCGCTCGTACCGAACTGGAAGTTGGAGTAGTTGGGGCAGACGTGGTAGCAGGCGCTGAGCACGCCCTCCATCATGAGCGCAAAGCCCATCGAGTAGAAGAGGCCAAAGTGCTTGGGGAGGCCGTGGTCCTGCACAAAGACAAAGATCCCCACCCCCCCACCGTGGTGGCCTTTAACAGACTACCTGGGGCAAGTGCCGTTCGCGAGCGGTGCCCACGAAGGCCGCCGGCACATCGCAACTTTGAGGGGGCGCGGCGAGGCCAACAAAACACGCCCCGCCGCCTGTCTCCCTACCCAGTGCTGACATGTCAACATCGCCGTACCAGGTACTTATTATTTTTTTAAGGCCGATCTGGCCAAGGAGAGAGACCCAGGACGGGTTCAAAATATTCGTCACCGATGGTGGTGGTGAGCGGGAATCGAACTCGGGTCACCGTCGGATTTGTGGCACCACGTGCTAATCACTGCGTCACCGCTTCCCCATAGAAACAATGACAAAGACTACCTGTATAGCCTTTACAGACCTGGAGGTGCGCGGGGTCCTTCCGGACGGCGAGCTGGTGGGAAAACTCCCGGAAGCCGACGATCAGCAGGAAAAGCAGCCCCAGCAGGAAGTAGCCCAGGTTGCTGAACACGTTGTTAAACGAACTGCAGAGACACAGAGACACAGGTCCCCCCGTATAGCCTTCAACAGATCGTTGGGGCAAGTGATGTTAGCGAGCGTCTCTGAAGGACGACACGGTACACGGGGGGGGGGGAGTGGGTGGCTAGCACCACACCCGGCCGCCTTTGTCACGAGATGTAAAATCCATTTGGAAATCTTGCAGAGCACCGTAACGCTCCGTATTAAGGAACGGCCCGTGGAAGCGGATATCACAGAGCTACCACCGAGATTGCTTCAAGTAACCTCGGATCCACACAGAATGGCCTGCGGAAGAAGATATCACAGAACTACCTCTGAGATTCCTCCTTCAAGTGACGTGTGCTTCCCCCCTGCCCAGAGAGGAATGGTCAACGCGTGACACAGCCATGCCTAATTCTCAGAGCTGGAATTGCAGCCAAATGAATCAAAGAGCCAATTTCTGTGACCGGAGTTTTTCTTTATTTTTGCACAGTAACTAGGCTGAGACCATCACCAAACTTGAACTTGAAAACTCGGTTTAATCACAGCTCAATCTGTACGAGTCTGTGGATCTCTATGCGAGTCTATGGGTCTCTATGTAAGTCTCTGACGACCTGGCTGAGACCATCACCTCACTGAAACTTGAGAACCCGGTTAAATCACATGCAGCTTGCACCCGGATTCAAACAGCATTCTCAGCACTACTTTGCCCTTCCACTTATCCACCTCATCCGCCTCATCTAGGATGCAGCCAATCAAGCGCTGAAACGCCCACGGCGATCGCGGACGGCCCGAGGCCGCCGGCCCCATCCCAGTGCCACCCTCGCCCTGACACACTCCCACGAGGGCACGCGGTCGGTGCGCCCATGGGGACCTCACCTGAGCATCCCCAAGGGCCTCGCACACAGGAAGTTGTAGTAGCAGATGTCCTGGTCGCCGGTCGTGTGCAGCACCTGTAAGCGCACACGCGTACGTGAGCAGACAGAGATCTCCCGTGTAGCCTTAAACAAACTGTTGGTGCACCACGCTTGGCCACCTTGGCCTCCCTAGTGGCGATGTTTACACACCGCAACAAGTACTGATTTGATGCTAAGTCGACCTAGGGGACGCCTGGGACCGGTTCAAATATTCGGCACTGTTATTGATCGTCAGCGGGAATCAAACTCAGGTCGCTGGGTTCATAGCGCAGTGCCCAAACCATGAGCAGGAGAAAGACAAAGATTCCCCGTATATCCTGAACCGACTTTTGGGCCAAGTGCCATTTGCGAGCACCTGTGAAGGTCGGCACGGCACACGAGGACAAAGACAGAGATCCCCCGTGTAGCCTCCACAGGGGGGAGCCCCCTGCACCCCAATCCCGGGTGAACGAGGTGGAGGTGATGGTGGTGGCGTGGGGGGTGGCGGCGCTCACGTTCTGGTAGGTGAGCACGAGCTGAATGACGGGCAGCACGTAGAACACCCCCACCGTCAGCAGGTTCCTGTGGCGCAACAGCGCAATGACGCGTCACAACAGCGTCACAACGCGTCACAACAGCGCGACGCGTCACAACAGCGCAACGACGCGTCACAACGGCGTCACAACAGCGTCACAACAGCACAACGACGCGTCACAACAGCGTCACAGCGCGTCACAACAGCGCAACTACGTGTCACAACAGCGTCACAACAGCATCACAACAGCACAACGACGCGTCACAAACAGCATCACAATGCGTCACAACAGCGCAACGACGCGTCACAACAGCGTCACGACGCGTCACAACAGCGCCAGCGCACCGTCATATCCGGCACAGTGGCAGCAGCTGCCATTGTGCCACCGTGGTAGTCGCGCCAGGCTAGGTGCAGGTTTGGGTCATCACGTGTAGTGTGGAAGGCTCGCTACTAGCAGGAGGTCACGGGAAGGACCCAGGTGCATCGGGTTGTTATTTAGCACACAAAGATAAAGGTCCCCTACATAGCCTATTCCAGACTGTTGGGGAAAGTACTGTGAGCAAGCACCTATGAAGTGGCTCAAGACTGAATTGACACGAACGTCACCAGCGCAACGCCACCACCCCAAAGACCCTGAGCACAGGCAAACAAGTATGATGATCTGGACACACAGCCTCTTGTCTGTCTTTGTGTATGGATGTTGAACTTCTTTCGCACCGTACATAGCCAACCGTGTTAATCGGAGTTGTACGTGTGTGGTGTCCTTACCAGCAGTAGATGCGGTACTTGCGTCTGATGACGGTCGCTCGCTTTCGAGAGAGATCTGACACGTACAGACACGCCTGCAGCACGCACGTACGCTGTGAGTTACCACCTATGAAGCACCTAAGTGGCTATACGGGGATTTGTCTTTTGTTTGTGGGGAGCGGTAGCGTAGTGGTTAAGGCACTGTGCTACGAATTCCGCGACCCAAGTTTTGGGCCTCCCCTATGTAGACTCAGCATTAAGTGAATACCCTCTGCGGTGTGGAGTAAACATCAGCAATGGGGAGACAAAGACGGCCAAGTGCGAATGGTGTCAGCCACACGACCCCCTCCTTGCGCCGTGCCGGCCCTCGCAGGCTCTCGCTAACAGCACTTGCCCGAACGGCCTTCGCAGGCTACACGGTGGGGGAGGGGGCCCTTTGTCTGTGTGGGTGCGCGCGTGCGAGCGGCTCCCGCGCTCGGCCACCTTGCTGCGGATGACGTTCTTGTCACTCAGCATGTCCTCCAGGGTGTCGTAGTCCTGGTCCTCATCCTCGGAGAGATCCTCGCCCTCCTCCTCCGACGAGGAGCTCTCCGGTCTCGTCGCCGCCAGCCCCGCAGCCTTGGTGCGGCCCGCGCGGCGACCCCCCGCGACCCCCACCTCCACGTTGACCGTCCCGTCTGACGGACGGGCGCAGCGGTCGAGCGGCGGTCAACGCGCGGCTAACGTCGGCGCGGGGCATGTGCCGCGGCGAAGGTCGTGCCCTCGTGTCGCCGTCGGCTCGGGATGTCCCGACATTTCGCCGCACGTGCCGGAAGCTTCTCCGGTTTTAGTCGCGCCGGTTCCTGAAGAAGCTCCCGAGCGCGTGCGGCAAAACGTCGGACCGAACGACGCGCGGGACGACCCGTAAAGCTACGCAGTAGCGACTGATATCCCAACCGTCCTGTGCCTCTCCCGTGTCGACGCAGCATTAAAAGCAGTACCCAGTGCGGAGCGCAGTAAACATAAGCACTGGAGAGACAATGTCGACCAGGCGTGATGTTGGCCAAACCACCCATTCATGTACCATACCGACCTTCGTAGTTGCTCGCTAACAGCCTGTGTGGACTACACAGATAATCTTTGTCTTTGTACAAACATGTTTGTGTGCGCCCAGAAATGTGGATGGAGAGTAAATAGGGGCAGCAGCAGAAGCAGTCGCGAACGAGCGAGAAACATCCCCTTGCCTCTCGCCAAGGTCCGATTCACGTGACAGCAACAGAGGAACGGGCAAGTGAGCGAGCAGGCAAGTGAGTAGAGTTTTGGAGAGTGGGTGAGTTGGTGAGTGGATGGGGGAGTGGGTGAGTGGATGAGTGAACTAAACTAAACTATTTATTTTACCAGGTAAGCTCTGTATAGCTCTTCTTCAAAAGCGACCTGGCCACAAATGATAGCTCAACGAAGTGGCTTAACACGTGGAAATGTATAGCATCAAAAGTGGAGTGAGTGGATGAGTAGGTTGTCGAGTCTGGAAGCGAGAAGGTGAGAGGCTACACGCGTGGATAAAGCAAAAATTTAGAGCGAGTTTGCGGTTGGGGTGTCTAGGTGAGCGTGTGAGTGAGGAGAGCCTAGGTGAGGAGTGAGGAGTGTTAATCTGCTCGACGCTGTTTATATTGTAGTCGTGTCCGAGTCTGTGGATCTCATGGAATCACTCATCCAGTCCGGTTGGCTAGGGCAGTCGCACGTCTAGTCGGACACTCCGAGCATTGGTGTGAGGGGCACACCACTACCCCCTACAGCCCCCACTTATATCAGGCCAGCCAATCGGTGAACTCGGTGAATCTTTTTATCGACACACAGCCAATAGCCATGTGTGTTGTTGCTCGGTGCCCCCGTGGTCTATGACGTTACCAATCGGCTTGGGGCTAACTAATCGCACACAAGCGGTGATCTTGGGCATCATTAGCTTTTACCCGACCCCTAACCTGACCCATAACCCGACCTCTAACCCTAACCTGACCCCTAATCTGAATCTCAGAAGGGCTGCGGCTCACAACAACGAGGCCACTCACTCTCGCAGTGAGACTCATCCCATGTCCTAACTTCTCGCCCCATTGAAGGTAAAAGCGAGATTTAGCCCTCTCGGTCTGGGTCTCCGTGCAGACAGAGTTTGTTCCGCCCTCATGCTGCGCCCCGCACGGTGATCGTAGCCACCGTCGCGCTCGATGGTCTTCGTCCACCTTATCCACGTCGTCATCGTTGCCCAATATTATTCTCGTCATTCGTCGTGCGAGCGGAAATGAACGGCGTGCGAGTTTGCGAGGGGGTGGGGGGGCGACTGAGCGGTGATCACCGTTGGCCACGGGAGTGTTGATGGAACCGTAGTCGCTCCGTGCGGAGGAGGAGGTCGCATCAGCGGGATCCACCATGACCTCCTGACCTACGGAGGTCAGGTGGCAGCAAAGAGGTCGTCGAGAGAAATAATTAACTTAACGGTCACGGTGGCCCGCTCCTTGCCGCCCCCCGCACCACTGCCTCGAGGCCTCCCCAGACTGACAGAACGGAGGAAAGGACTTTCCCACAATCCCTGATTGCACTGCAGAATGTGGAAAGCAGTGCGGTGATGCCAGGCAGCTGCAGACCAAGCAAGCGCCCGGAGCTCATATACTCACACACGCTTACACTCACGCACGCTCACACATTCTCACACAAAGATCCCCCTGATAGCCTGAATAGATTTTGGGGAAGTGCTGTTAGTGAGCACCGATAAAGGCCGGAATGGTGTGCAAAGGTGGAGGTGGGGACAGCACCAGGCCCGACCGCCTTCGTCTTCCCAGTGCTCATGTTTACATGAAGGGCAGTGGGCATTAACCACTAAGCCACCCCTCCCCACACACCCACAACAATGAGACACATGTGGACACAAGGTTAACATGTGACAAGTTAGAATGGACACAAGCTTGGACGGAAGCACAGGTGAGGACGACAAGAGACGTGTGAACGACACACACGGACACCTGCACTGTTCCTCTCAGCCTTGTCCACGCGCCTCTAAGTACCCATGTAAACTCGCAGTGACGGCTGGTGAAGTATGGTCAAATAACCCCCACGACCTACGGGGCATGCCGAGTCCCACGGTTTGCTTCTGTCGGGACTACGGCGTTAAGACCGGCAAATAGCCCGATGATGCTGGATGTAATTACCAGCGAAACGTCGTACTACTCAAATTGTAAATGTTGTGGATTTACTCTCCAACACACCGGTGGGCTGAAGTAGTAAACAAATTGGCGTTTTTTTACGTGACAAATCCCTTACTAATTGGCTGTGTCAGGTGGTGGAGGGTTACGACACATTTATACTTACGCGACCTAACCCAAAAACCTTTATTATGAATAATATTGGTCGCGAAAGCCTACGTGTTAAACTACGGCGTTAGCTCTGCGCGAGTTCGTGGTTTGAGCCCGGCGCCTTCTCTGGCTCACACTGCGGCTCCCGTTACCCACGAGCACCACGAGTGCCACGCGACGTCCGCTTCCCAGCGCACGACGAAGATCCTGTGTCTGTGACACAGTGCAAACTTTGCACAAATTACATTGTTTAATCGCAGATTACTCCACAGAGTAAAAGCCCACGGCACCATCGCCCCACACTGGCGGACTATACCGGTCTGTGAAATATAGCGTGAATACCATATGGACTAATCGAATATAATTGCTATTTATACTACTATGACTACAGGTATTAGTGTCCAGACAATTTTGAACGGACAGAGACAGAGCAGAGACACAGAGCAGAGGCACAGATATAGATCAGAGCAGACACAAGTAGGGCACAGACAGAGACACAAGTAGAGCACATACAGAGACACAGTAAGGGCTGAGACAGACAGAGACAAAGAGCGCAGACAGATATCGAGACTCACCTACGATGGCTCCTGATCGAGCGGCGTTTTGTGGGCAGCAAACAGAGCACAGAGCATAGGACAACCACACGGTTACAGCGCTGCCACAATGACCACAATGAGCACAACTACCACAAAGCGCATAACTACCACAACGGCCACAACTACCACAATGACCACGATGACCAATTGCAACGGTCAACCAGTAACGAAAGCGACAGACTTGCTTACTCTGCTCCCCAGGACTCGCAGTTTCCACCAGGGTCATGTCCCCGTACAGGCGGGATCTGGAGACAGGGAGAGACGGACGGACGGACACAGAGACAGACGGGCAGACAGACATAGGCAGACACAAGCAGACGTCACACAGCGAGCGTGCATGGGAGTGTGCGTGGGAGTGTGCGTGGGAATGTGCGTGTGCAAGGCTGAGTTGGCTGGGTCATGTAGCCCGCATGCCCAGCCACCGCATGCCGAAACAGCTTTTGTTCGGCCGGATCAAGGGGGCTAAACTGGCGCGGCACGGGCTAGAGAAGAGATGGAGTGATGTCGTACAGGAGGACGTGGAGCTGAGTGGACTTGCCGATGACTGGTACCAGCGGTGTCAAGATCGACCTCTGTGGAGGAGGCTCGTGAAGGACGCTACTGGGCAGTTGGAGGCAGTCGCCCTCCAACAACAGAGGGTGGAGGAGCGACGCTCACAACAACGAGCGGAACGCCGGGTGGCTAAAGCACAGCAGGTTGGCACAGTAGGGGGCACAGGTGGTGCATCAGCCAGTCATCTTAGTCAGTCGACCCGTGGCACTTGGGTCTGCCCCGTGACCTCCTGCCCGCGGGCGTTCGACACTTCACGTGACCTCAAGGTGCACATGGCCAGGCACAAGCGTCGTGGTGACATCACCGCCACTTAGTGGCGAATGGCGGTTGTTGTTGTTGTGTGGGTGTCCGCCCGTACCCGTGCGCGTGCATCACCTCTACTGGTGCAGGGGAGCAGTAGCGCAGTGGGTAGGCCACTGCGCTACGAACCCGGCCACCCGAGTTTGATTCCGGCTCACGGACAACATTGGTGACTAATATCTGAACCGGTCCTGGGCCTCCCCTAGGTTGACTTGGACTCAAATGAGTACCTGGTGCCATGTGTAAATATTGCCACTGGGGAGACAAAGGCGACCGGGCGTGGTCCTGGCCATCCACCCCCTCATGCGCCGTGGCAGCCTTCATTGATGCTCGCTACCAGCACTTGCCACAAGTCTTTATGGCTATAAGGTGATCTGTCTTTGTACCCATGCATGCGTCACCTCCACTGCTGCAGGCCGAGGGCGATGAAGGCGATGAGGTAGAACGGCAGGAAGAGGCTGCAGCCAAACACCACCGCGTTGATGTATGCGTGTGCTACACACACACGGCGAGACATGCGATGAGACACGATGAGACACGCAACGAGAGACGATGACACACGCAGGTAGACACATACATAGAATCTCATAATCGTGTACCTGTACACACGGGCAAAACACATTCACGCAGACGCAGAATGAGACACACGATAAGACAAACAATGAGACACATTGAAACACAGTGCAAAAGGCTCAGATACACGGAGACAGAATCACATCACACACACAGGACACAGTGAGACACACGGAGACAGAATCACATCACACACACAGGACACAGTGAGACACACGGAGACAGAATCACATCACACACACAGGGATACACTGAGACACACGGAGACAGAATCACATCACACACACAGGGATACACTGAGACACACGGAGACAGAATCACATCACACACACAGGGATACACTGAGACACACGGAGACAGAATCACATCACACACACAGGACACAGTGAGACACACGGAGACAGAATCACATCACACACACAGGACACAGTGAGACACACGGAGACAGAATCACATCACACACACAGGACACAGTGAGACACACGGAGACAGAATCACATCACACACACAGGACACAGTGAGACACACGGAGACAGAATCACATCACACACACAGGGATACACTGAGACACACACACCAAGGCATCCTGGGCTGCGGCTCAACGCAGCGGGGGCTCTGGAATGATGGAAGACGGAGGTGGAGATTGGGGGGGGGGGGTGTGAGGGACCAGAGTGGGGGTCTCTGGAGGGAGAGGGCGGTGCGAGCACTCACGTGAGGCCGTTCCTTTCACCGTCACGTTGAACATTTTGATGTGAGCCTGGCTGTCAACCACCACCCCTCCTGCATACCGCACGGCACGCCGCATCAAGCCACACCACTCACCAAGCCACACCGCTCACCCAGCCGCAGTGCTCACCAAGCCACACCATTCAGAAGGCCACACCACTCACCTCCTGTGTGCCACACACCAAGCGACACCACAGCAAGCCACAACACATTGAGGACATGCCACAGCAAGCCACAACACATTGAGGACATGCCACAGCAAGCCACAGCACATTGAGGACGTGCCACAGCAAACCACAGCACATTGAGGACGTGCCACAGGAAGTCACAGCACATTGAGGACGTGCCACAGCAAACCACAGCACATTGAGGACGTGCCACAGCAAGCCACAACACATTGAGGACGTGCCACAGCAAGTCACAGCACATTGAGGATGTACCACAGCAAACCACAGCACATTGAGGACGTGCCACAGCAAGCCACAACACATTGAGGACGTGCCACAGCAAACCACAGCACATTGAGGACGTGCCACAGCAAGCCACAGCACATTGAGGACATACCACAGCAAACCACAGCACATTGAGGACGTGCCACAGCAAGCCACAACACATTGAGGACGTGCCACAGCAAGTCACAGCACATTGAGGACGTGCCACAGCAGAGTAAACGCAACACATTGAGGACGTGCCACAGCAAGTCACAGCACATTGAGGACGGTGCCACAGCAAGTCACAGCACATTGAGGACACGCCACAGCAGAGTAAACACATTGAGGACATGCCACAGCAGAGTAAACACTCAGGTGCGAGGAATGACATGGGGGGGGGGCCCTTCCCTCTCTCATTTCTCCCCCCATTTTCTGTAGCCCGGAGACTTCTGGGCCCCTCTGGCCCACGGGCGGGACCCAGCGGTGCAGTTGCACCGCCTTCACACTCGAGGACTATGCCCCTGCAGCCTCCCTCGGCGACACCAATCTCAAAACCTTCGTCAATATCACGGGTGTCGTTTCAAGCGACGATCCTTCTTCAGAGCACATGAATAGTGATGCAAGAGACGTAAAGTTGGAGACAGCCTCTAGTCATGCGCTGTGAAGAAGGACCACTGCCAAGAACGTCCCCTTTGTTCTTCGTAAAGTGGTACAGTGGTGTTATTGGCGATTGTGTTGAGTTTTTCTTGTTGATGTTTGTGCACCGCTGGTGCCAACACTGCAGCAGCGGTGGCAGCGTCGCCAAGTAATCTGATTAAACCGAGGTTCTCAGCATGGCGATGATCTCAGTCCAGTGACTCGAGGCTTTTTAAGGTCAGATCATCACTTGACACATGCAGGGTTCCACGGCCCATACCACGACTCATAAATTATGTCTGGGTCGGATCGCGTTCCACGCTCGACTGCCATGCAGATATAATGAGTGAGCAGGGTGAGTGGAGCGGGGTGAGCGGGTGAGCGGGTGAGCGGGTACCTGGCTTGATGGGGGTGAGCATGGTGGGTGGGTGAGCGGGTGAGCGGGGTGGGTGGGTGAGTGGGTGAGCGGGTACCTGGCTTGATGGGGGTGAGCATGGTGGGTGGGTGAGTGGGTGAGCGGGGTGGGTGGGTGAGTGGGTGAGCGGTGACCTGGCTTGATGGGGGTGAGCGGGGTGGGTGGGTGAGTGGGTGAGCGGGTACCTGGCTTGATGGGTGTGAGCGGGGTGGGTCCACCGCAGGTGACGTCGTCCGCCTTCACGACAAACACCACGAAGAACTGCCCGGAGCGGCAGTCCTTCTTCTGCTCGCCACGCCGCGCCACACCGCACAGCAAAGCATTACCCCACAGCACACCAAACAGCACCAGATAACGCCAGCGTCACACCATGCACCGGCGTCATGGCGCACGTTGAGACAAGAACACCGCACGGCACTGCGCCAACGTCGCAACACTACACACCAGACAGGAGAATGGTACCAGCAATACGCCAGCACTGTACCACGACCCACACCACACCACACCGCACGCTACATCAGCACCACACCATGTCCCACATCACACTACAGGACCACACCGCACACACCACTGTTCATCCACACAGGACAGCGTTCAACAGCACACACGCATCCGGGCACGTGCCTGTGCTTCGTTGAATGTGTGTACGTGTGTGGATGGCGGCATACACGTGTGTGTGTGTGTGTGTCTGTGCACGGGTGCCAACAGTGCCATCTGGCACAGTGGGGAGCACAGGTGCTGCATCTGACAGTCATCTCAGGCAGTGAACCCACGGCAATGGGTGTCCAGTGATCTCCTGTCTGCAGTGAGCCTTCAACACTTCACATGTATGTATGTTGAACTTCTTTCACACCGTACATAGCCAACCGTGCTAATCGGAGATGCAAGAGAAGGACAACAAACTAAACACTTCACGGCCTCAAAGTGCACCGAGGCTGGCTGGCACAAGCGCTGTGCTGACATCACGGCCACTTTGTGGCGAACAGCAGTTGTTGTTATATATGCATCTGCATGTGCACACGTGGGTCAGTGTATACATATAAATATATACATATAAACACATGCAGGGAGCGGCGGCGCAGTAGTTAGCACACTACTTTATAATTCCAGCGAGCAGACTTCATATTCCCGCTCAAATATAACATAAGTCGTGATCATCTACACTGGTCCTGGTGTGGTGTGTAAATATCAGCACTGGGCAGACATTGGTGGCCAGTCATGGCTCTGGCCACATCAGAATCGGAATCTTTATTTAGACTGCAGGAGGAATCTGATGAGCAACGAAGTTCTTTTCACAAATGTGAAGTAGGGGCATGGGGTCAGCAAGTTACAACCACCCCCTCGTGTGCTGTGCTGCCCTTCATAGGTGCTGCTCGCTAACAGCACTTACCCCAACAGTCTGTTAAGGCTATACGGGGGATATGTCTTTGTATTTGTACTTCGGTACGTATGTACGAAGGTGTGCTCGTCACCTGCACAGTGATGGCTGCCCGCGATGTCATCGTCTGGTAAACCCCGGAGAAGTCGACGTTCTGATCCAGGTCGTTCACAGGGCACTGAGAAGCCAGGCCTCCTCCATTAGTCGACGGCGGTTATCACAATCGAGCGTTAAGTTCACGGCACATACATCCAACAACTGTGCCTGGGAACTGATTTGTTTCATAGCCGTGCAGATCGCACGCAAACGCCGTGCTGCCTCTGGGTTCCTGGTGGCTATGCTGCTGCGCGTGGCCTGTAACCCGGCACTGTTGTCAAGGCAGCAGCGAGGGTTGGTGGATCGCACACCGATGTTGTGATACTCTGTTCCCACATTTAATAGCGCCAGTTTCTCAGCACCTGCCCGACGCCTGCCTCATCTACGATTCCTCTGCTCGCCTCCGAGACATTTTCTCTCTCGCTGTGCAGCGGAGATGGTGGTGCAATACAGGCTGAGAGTATTGTTATTATTACTACCGCTGGGAGAACAAATGAGACGGAAGATAAGAGGGAGACAATGGAAGTGCAATGGAACACACACCCATCCGGTTAGCTGTCCCAGCACAATGCATTTGCGTATTTGATAATTGTTCAGGGCAATAATGCCTTGACCATCAATCAGTGTCTCCGTTTTTTTTTACGGCAACTCCCAAATTGCAACGCAATTTTGCGCTTCAGCGAGGTTTCTCAAACCCCCGTCACCACGCTCCGTCTTCCCACGTGCGTGTACACGCGTTTAGCGTGACGGAGATACCGTTAAGTGCTTAGCGCGTCACGCGGGATGTATTTAACAATCACTGGAAAAGTACAGCGTAAAAAGAGTTAAAAGCGGGAATACGGAGTGTGGTGGCGTGGGGGTCGCGCGGACTGAAGGTCAGGAAACGCCGCACTAAGGTTTATTTCAAGTTGGATCATCGCTACGAGAGTTATCGCACCTCCCACCCCGGTTACAGATGAAGGGACTGACAAACAGACGGCGCTAATGCACGAACGCTGTCGACGTGAGCTGGAGGAGACCGTGGTGGTGTAAGCGTGACGTCGCGACCTCGGGTAGCCGCCCTCCCCCCGCGCCCTGCTCACCCCCACGTCCTGCACAGAGAGGACGCTGCAGGGCAGGGTGCTGTTTCGGCGCAGGCCATGGGCCTGCACCTCCACCACCACTGAGTCCTCGCCGTCCTGGAACTCGTACAGCAAGTACTGAGGACGCCATGTATGGGGGGTGGGGAGGGTGCATGGGAGGGGCAGGGGCACAAGGACAGCTCACGAGGTGACTATGAGCTCACACTCCAACAAGATAAAAACAAAGATCCCCCATGTAGCCTTTAGGAGACCGTTGGGGCAAGTGCTGTTTGTGAACACCTATGAAGGCCGGCATGGCAGGTGGGTGGGTGGTCAACACCATGCCCGGCCGCATCTGTCTCACAAGCGCTGATGTCAACCTAGGGGAGACCCAGGACCGGTTTGGATAGTCGCCACTGTTATTGTTCGCCGGGTTCGGTAGCGCAACGAGCTAACCGCAGCGCTACCACTCCCCATATACTTACAAAGAGAAAGATCCCCTGCATAGCATCTAACAGATTGTTGGGGTAATAGCCATTGTACATACTCACACACAAACTCCCAGTGCAGTTCACTTTCCCTAACACCCACGCTAGCGCTATCCCCCACACACTCCGACCACCCGCACCTCAACTCACACCCCTCCGCGCACACCCCGCCGCGCCTGAACACCTATCGCCATCCCTGCGCACTCACCTGTGGCTGCGAAGGTGTGGCGTTCAGTGACTTCATCTCTCCCGCCCTGGCACGGGACACAGCACACGCATGAGCTGAAACATGGTATCGCAGTACGAGAAACGGTATCGCAGTACGAGACACAGCGCATGGGTCACGGACACAGCACACACAGTACGAAACATTGCACACAACAAGGGATGCAGTGGGTGTACAGGTTTCTGGGGTTGTGCGAGTTGCCGGGGTTGTGGTTATCCGAGTTGGCGGTGGGTGCGTGGGTTTGCCGTGGTTGTGTCGGTTGCCGGGGTTGCAGTGGTTGTGTAGGTCGGCGATGGGTGCGTGGGTTGCGTGGTTGCGTGGTTGCGAGGTCGCAGGATCTGCTTGCGACGGCTCCCGTGGGCCTCACTTGAGGATGAAGGGGTACAGGTGGTGGGCCTTGAGCTGGAAGCTGATGACGTGCGAGGCCTGGGAGCCCACGGTCACCGTGAATCGGCGCTCGGGCCCCGCAGCGCCGGAGTCCCCCGCAGGCGGCCTGCGGCCCGGCTCCACAGCCAGCTCCGGCGTACACAGAGTGCGTCCCGCCTCCAGGTAAAGGAAGGGAATTCCCGTGCTGAACCGCACACACGCATACGCAAACAGATACACACACAACGCACGCACACACACACACGAACAAACAAGGAGCCTGACATGCATGACTTCTGTCCTCGAATTGACGCGTGCAGATTCACGGTGTCCCACGTGTCACCCCGTTATACGCAGCGGGCAGTCCCTGTTTCGGCCTCTACGCCGCACGGCTTCTCAATCATCTTCACAGCACACCCAACAACAAAAAGAACACTGTGGGCCCTTCAGCCAGCAGTGGATTGATCGCACAACGGCGGCGGCAGCACACCTGGAACTTTGCTGCAACACACCGGTGTTCTACGGCTTACCGGTGCGTTGCAATGCAACACTGTGCGGTGAACGTTGTGGAACCGCCGCGTCGGCTATGCGTTCCAGGAACATCTCGTGATGCTGGGACACTCCACTGGCATTTCTTTCACGTCGATTATTTTGATATTGTTGGAATATAATTTGTTTAAATATATGTATTGTTATAATAAAATTCGCTTCACAAGCTGTATATGCTTTTTGGTTCTATTCGATAAAGTCATGTAGGTAAAAATTAAAACGTGACTTTACCGAATAGAACCGAAGAGTATGGATCCTTGCAGTCACGAAAGCTTTAAATCTAAAGCTGTATATGGGCTATAATCCTGAAAATATCCGAGAAGAGGGAGCTCTGTCGTGATATTCGGCCTACTCTTCCATGCTGGACAGACGTCTGGGAGATGATGGGCATATACCCACACTTTACCCCACCCACCACACGGGACCTGCCGATGATCAATGACACTGCCGGGCAGACAGAGACGGCGTAAGGGTGGGGGGTTTAATAAACCGGCATCTCTGTTTGGACTGCCGTGCCGGGAGGTGGGATCGGCGAGCTGTGAATCGCAGCTCTAATGAGCTGCTCACCATAACCCCGCGGTGGCAGCTTCCTTCACATCGCTGTTAATACAGTAAACGTGTTGGTGTTTATGGAGGGTAAATCGCGTTTATCGCTGGTCTAGAATCCAGGTCACTTGGTCCATTGCAGAGGAGCAATGGTTTATTTATGAAAAGTTCACATGACCATGGGGGGGGTAGACGCTGATGAAGGACGCCTGGCTGGAAAGTAAAAATTTGCACAATTAGTGAGGCTTAACTGGCACCGTGACGCCTGACTGGTTGTGAGTGTTCCAGCTACTGTGTGAGCCCAGGCAGGCTGTCTGTGCTGAGTGGCATGTGCATCCGAGTAGGGTGTGCTATGGCTGGGTGTTTACTTGCAACGCATGGACTGTTCTGAGTGGTATATATTTTATCTGGGTGTGTATTATGTGTTTTGTCGGCAGGTTTACTGTCTGGCTGTGTGCTGGCTGTGTGCTGGCTGGGTGTATTCGTGCTGGGTGTGTGTGTGTGCTGGGTGTGTGTGCTGGGTGTGTGTGTGTGCTGGGTGTGTGTGTGTGTGCTGGGAGTGTGTGTGTGCTGGGAGTGTGTGGGTGCTGGGTGTGTGTGTGCTGGCTGGGTATGTTCGTGCTGGGTGTGTGCTGGGAGTGTGTGTGTGCTGGGTGTGTTCGTGCTGGGTGTGTGTGTGCTGGGTGTGTGTGTGCTAGGTGTGTTCATGCTGGGTGTGTGTGCTGGGTGTGTTCATGCTGGGTGTGTGTTCATGCTGGGTGTGTTCGTGCTGGATGTGTTCGTGCTGGGTGTGTGTGTGCTGGGTGTGTGTGTGCTGGGTGTGTTCATGCTGGGTGTGTGTGTGCTGGCTGGCTATGTGCTGGCATCACTCACGTGCCCCGCAGCACTATAGGAAGCTGCCAGCTCATCACCCCCTGCTGCTGCTGAACAACGAAGAGCAGAGGGGCGGTCGAGTCGTTCCAGCTGCTCTGCACCCACACGCGCACTGCTGCAGTCTACACACCATGCACCACATACGATACATTACACCACACAGGGCACACAGGGCACACCACACATCAGACCTTACATGGCACACCACACAGGACAAAACACGCCGCACTGACATGTCGCACGCCACTGTGATGTCAAAATGTCACTGTACAGCAGGGGCTGAGCGGTAGTGCAGTGGGTCCCGTACAATGCTACAAAATCTAGCATCCAGTTCAATTCCCGACCACGGCTAACATCAGTTACGCATAATATCCGAAACTCATTAAGACGCCCCCCCCCGCCTCTTCCATCAACTTGCAATGACCAGAGTAGTGAAGTATGGTCAAACAACAAGCATGACCGGGCACTGTGCAGAGAGGGCCTTCATCCTCGTAGTGGGCTGACCGATGGCTGTAAATCATCATTATTATTGTTGTTGTAGCCACTTCTCAGGAATTTTGAATCCAAACGCGATCTACCGTGTTATATTTAGGGCCATTGGTAAACACGCGGCAGCAGCAGCAGTGGCCACGCGCGTGAACAATCGAGCCGGCGGCCCCCACCATCATCCACCACCCGAGCTTCCACTTTCCACAGGAAGTGAGGGATCAAGGGCGATATCGTGGGAAACACAAGGCTGCTCCCGCCACTGCCAACGAAGTGACCAACTGCGAATGGGAAGTGGCCGGGCGGGCGCTATGACTGTGAATAGTGGGGCCAACACACGTGGCACGTGGTTATAGGTTGACATGGCCACGTGGACGTGGACACCAGTTCACACACACAGAGGTCGACATATAGACGGTGTAGCCTTAAAGACTTGCTGGGGCGAGTGATATTAGCGAGCACCACGCCCGGCCGCCTTTGTCTCCCTAGTGGCAATGTTCACACATCGCACCAGGTACTAATTTGAGGCTGAGTCCACCTAGGGGAAGCCCAGGACCAGTTGAGAAAATTGTCACTGGTACTGGCCGTGAGCGGGAACCGAACCCGAGTCGCCGGCTTCGTAGCAGTTGGGAGAGCGGCCACCTTGTTGAGGATGTAGCTGTAGTCGTAGACGGCGCTCGTGCCGTTCATCACCGAGCCGTTGTACACTTTGTTGAACTCGGCCGTCTGGACGTTGGCGAGGCCCGGGCCCAGCAGCCAGAACACGCCGAGCAGCAGCGGGCCCGCCCGGCGCGCCATCCCGCGCGCCTCCACCACCACCGCCACGGGCGCCGTCGCCACCGCCAGCAGCAACCGCATCATCAGCACCATGAGCACCGTCAGCATGCGCATCATCACGATGAGCATCTCCATGGTGACGGTCAGCATGTGCATCGTCACCATCAGCATCTCCATGGTGAGCAATATCATCTGCTCCATCGCTTCGTTCAGAGGAATCACCACCGGCATCGTGGCGCCGCCTCACCGTCCGCCTCCCTTCAAGTGCCAGGAATACCGGGGAACAACCAGGTACACAGGGCTAGGGGGTACAGGGCTAGGGGGTACAGGGCTAGGGGGTACAGGGCTAGGGGGTACAGGGCTAAGGGGCACTCGGGGTGGTGGAGGGACTCGCCTCGAGTATCGCCGCCAGCCACTTGAGTCGCATCCGCACAGCGAAGTCTGCGGACTCTGAACCTCGAGCCTGGGGTCAGGAACCCGGACGCATGGGTCCACGAAGACACGAGGAGCCGCGGGGTTGCGAGATGCGAGGAGAGACGTGGGGAATCTGGAGGAGACACGAGGACACGTGTAGAAGCCAGGAGAGACGCGGAAAGAGGAAGAGATAGCGCCCGTGGTGTGGGGGGGGGCATGGGGAGACGCAGGTCCATGGGAGCAGGGAGAGATGGCCAGAGAGACACTGCGAGACTCGAGGGAGACAATCAGGGAGAGACGCCTGGGGGTCGAGGAGCTCCTCGGGAGGCAGGGAGAGACACAGAGACACGGTGAGAGACAGAGACACAGAGAGACACGTGAGGAGAGACAAAGTGAGAGACACGGAGAAAGAAACAGGGAGACACATGAGAAGAGACACCCAGGTAGGGACCCAGAGACACGGAGAACCCCACAGGGAGACACATGAGGAGAGACACGCAGGTAGAGACACAGGGAGAGACACGGAGAACCCCACAGGGAGACACATGAGGAGAGACACGCAGGTAGGGACCCAGAAACACGGAGAACCTCACAGGGAGACACATGAGGAGAGACACGCAGGTAGAGACACAGGGAGAGACACGGAGAACCCCACAGGGAGACACATGAGGAGAGACACCCAGGTAGGGACACAGAGAGAGACACGGAGAACCCCACAGGGAGACACATGAGGAGAGACACCCAGGTAGGGACACAGAGAGAGACACGGAGAACCCCACAGGGAGACACATGAGGAGAGACACCCAGGTAGGGACACAGGGAGAGACACGGAGAACCCCACAGGGAGACACATGAGGAGAGACACCCGGATAGGGACACAGAGAGAGACACGGAGAACCCCACAGGGAGACACATGAGGAGAGACACGCAGGTAGGGACACAGAGACACGGAGAACCCCACAGGGAGACACATGAGGAGAGACACCCAGGTAGGGACACAGGCAGAGACACGGAGAACCCCACAGGGAGACACATGAGAAGAGACACCCAGGTAGGGACACAGAGACACGGAGAACCCCACAGGGAGACACATGAGGAGAGACACCCAGGTAGGGACACAGGGAGAGACACGGAGAACCCCACAGGGAGACACATGAGGAGAGACACCCAGGTAGGGACACAGGGAGAGACACGGAGAACCCCACAGGGAGACACATGAGGAGAGACACGGCGGGGGATGGGAGACAGAGAAGCCGCTTGCTCACCTCCGTGAACGCCTCCTGCCCCTCGACTCTTCCGGCGCCGTCTCTACCCCCCGTCGTCTCTCTCGCCCAGGCTCCAGAGCTGCGCTTCTCTCCGCCCTGAGGGCGCCTAGCGGCCGTATCCGCCCCAGGGGCGACTTCCATCTCCATAGCGACACTCGACGTCACCGCGGCTGCGTAGGCCACGTGACACCAGGGGCGGCGGGGAGGGGGGGTTTAGGGGGCAGGATGAGTCTATGGTTCCTGTTAGTCTGGGTCTCTGTGAGTCATAGTTCATAGTTCCATTTATTTGGTATAGCCCTGTGAGCCATTCGGCTCTTGAATCGGGTGCAACCGCAACAAACAAAAAACAAAAACATGAACAAGAAAACATATAAAGTGACTATGTGACTGTGAAAACAGAAAATACAGGAAAAAACAGCAAAATATTCCTGAAACACCAACGCTTTGTGTTAAAATTCCAGTGGGATGCAAGTCAAACAACAACGACAACTAAGACTAAGGCCATCAGTCTAACTCCGTACTACAATAAACAAAAACATGGCCAAACCAAAAAAGTTTTCGAAATCACCAAAACAAAGCCATAAATGCAATATAAAGTGATCAGACGGACTGTGACCGGTTTTTTTTTACAATAAACTACATAAATAACATATAACACACAAACCCTAGAGCCATAGCTGGCTGCATGAGTCACTCCACAACAACAGGAGCATCAGTCGGAGTCTATAGGTCTCTGTGGATCTATAGGTCTCTGTGGATCTATAGGTCTCTGTGAGTCTGGGTCTCTGTGAGTGTCTGGATCTCTGTGAGTGTCTGGGTCTTTGTGAGTCTATAGGTCTCTGTGAGTTTATAGGTATCTGTGAGTCTATAGGTCTCTGTGGGTCTTTAGGTCTCTGTGAGTCTGGATCTCTGTGAGTGTCTGGATCTCTGTGAGTGTCTGGGTCTCTGTGGGTCTATAGGTCTCTGTGAGTCTGGGTCTTTGTGAGTGTCTGGATCTCTGTGAGTGTCTGGGTCTTTGTGAGTCTATAGGTCTCTGTGAGTTTATAGGTATCTGTGAGTCTATAGGTCTCTGTGGGTCTTTAGGTCTCTGTGAGTCTGGGTCTCTGTGAGCGTGGCTCCGTGCATCGAGTCACGATCAAACCTTTGCGTGTAAGACCACGTGCTCGCTGTTGATTTCAAGTTTAATTTATTAGGTATAGCCCTGTGAGCCATGCGGCTCTTAAGTCGGGTGCAACCGCAACAAACTAAGTTTGAACACAGAACACCTTAAAGCGACGACGCGCAACAGAAACATCCTGGAATTCAACCAGCAAATATTCGATTAAAAGCTTTCGTGACTGCAAGGATTCATCTTCTATGGTTCTTTCGGTAAAGTCACGTAGAATGATAATAAAATAATAAAATAAAACAATAACATTCTCACGACGTTTCGGCCACAACCCAAGCGGCCTTCTTCAGGTGAAGGAACAAAAAACTGTCGGGACGACAGAGCTCCAATGAACGCTGCTAAGATTCGTAGTGTCTTTTAAGCTGGTTGAGAGAAGAGAGGCACCTTGACAAAGCGGTTAACATATCAAACAGGATAATTTATTATTGAAATAGCTGAGGGATTTAGCTTGTGACTGGTCACAGAAATAGCTATGTTAAAGTCAAAGCCTACACATCCACAGATGCACCTAGTACAAATCAAACGGGATAATTTAACATTGAAATAACTGAGTGATTAGCTTGTGACTGGTCACAGAAATAGCTATGTTAAAGTCAAAGCCTACACATCCACAGAGGCACCTAGTACGAATCAAACGGGAGAATTTAGCATTGAACAGCTGAGGGATTAGCTTGTGACTGTCGGGACGACAGAGCTCCGTCGTCCCGACAGTCACAAGCTAAATCCTTCAGCTATTTCAATGATAAATTCTCCCGTTTGATATGTTAACACCTTTGTCAAGGTGCCCCTCTTCTCTCAACCAGCTTAAAAGACACTACGAATCTTAGCAGCGTTCATTGGAGCTCTGTCGTCCCGACAGTTTTTTGTTCCTTCACCTGAAGAAGGCCGCTTGTGTTGTGGCCGAAACGTCGTGAGAATTTTATTGTTTTATTTTATTATTTTATTCTCATTCTACGTGACTTTACTGAAAGAACCAAGAACAGCAAATATTCCACACAAAAAATATACGTATTAAAACGCTGTGCAAAAATCACAATGTGGTGCAAGCCAACAACAACAACCATAAGCCAATTTAGATTAACCATATGTTTTCCAATTACCAAAATAAAGCTACAAAAACAATGTAACAACAGTAATCATAGGAACTGTGATTTTAAATTTAACAATAAACGATATACATAACATATACGACAAAACCTGCAGCCATAGCTGGCAGCACGACACTCCCAGTGTATGATGTGTGAGTGAGTCAGCAGCAGCGTGAGTGAATGATGTGTGAGTCAGCGTATGATGTGTGAGTGAATCAGTAGTAGCTTGAGTGAGTGTATGATGTGCGAGTCAGCGCACGATGTGTTAGTCAGCGCATGATGAGTGAGTCAGTGTATGATGTGTGAGCGAGTCAGCGGAAGTGTGAGTGTATGATGTGCGAGTGAGCCAGCACACGATGAGTGAACCTGTTGGTTTTCACACCTGATGATGACCGATTGTGTTATGGTCGAAACGTCGTGAGAATTTTTATTGTTTTATATATTTTATTATTTTATTGTTTCCCTTCAACGTGACTTTACCGAAAGAGCTAAGAATGAGTGAACCTGTGTATGATGAGTGAATGGGTCAGTGGTTGTGCGAGTGTATGTGTGAGTAAGCGCATGATGAGCGAGTCAGTGCATGGTGTGAGTGAGTCAGTGCATGATGTGTGAGTGAGTCAGTGCATGGTGTGAGTCAGTGTATGATGTATGAGAAAGTCAGTGTCGGCTCCCTCTGCTTGCGCCGTCGCCCCCCTCCCCCAGCTCCGTCGCCCCCCCCCCGGCTCCGTCGCCCCCCCCCCCGGCTCCGTCGCCCCCCCGGCTCCGTCGCCCTCCCCCCGGCTCTGTCGCCCCCCCCCCCCGGCTCCGTCGGCCCCCCCTGGCTCCGTCGGCCCCCCCCCCGGCTTCGTCGGTCCCCCTGGCTCCCCCGGACCCATCGGCTCCCCCGGCCCCGTCGGCTCCCCCGGCTCCGTCGGCCCCCTCGGCTCCATCGGCTCCCTCCGTCGGCTCCCTCGGCCCCCTCACAAACGGCCCCGCCAGCCGCTGCTGGGAGCGCGGCCCGGGAGCGCCCCGGGAGCGCGGCCCGGGAGCGCGCGCGCCTCAGGCGGCCATCTTGCTTTTTGGACAAAACCTCGATCGCATTCGTGTAGGCGCATTCGTGTAGGCCGCATTCGTGTAGGCGATTACACAACCACCGTCTTTGCTTCGTGAGGAAATTCTAGACCTCGTCGACAGACGCAACCTACGATCCATTGTTGGTTGAATCAGTCTGGATTTTGTGAGGCGGTCGCAGATCCGCCACTGTTGTAGGAGGCAGTCGCTCTCCAATGACAGCCGTGAGCTGAGGAGCGACGTTCACAACAACGATCCGAGCTCCGGGCGACTAAGAGGCAGCAATATTGCACCATCACGGCGATTCTTATCACAGTCCCACATCTGCTGCTAAACTCGCTCGGGGAAATGAAAGTTCCTCTTCGGGCCCGACGATGCCAGCTCGGCAAATGTAACTTCCACTCTTCAATCCCATCGTTGGCGTCAACCCGTCCAATTCTGGGAACGCGTCTTCTGCACGTCGGCTCTCAGATGTGTTGTTTCGGGATGTTTGTGACCTCGTGTCGTTCGGCACAACGTCCGACGTTTCGCTCCACGTGGCAGGGACCTGCTTCAGGAACTGAATCCAAGCTCTCAGCAGCGTGGAGCGAAACGTCAGATATCGCGCACAGCACAGCGTAAACCCACAATCGCATTGGAGAGCTGTGCAGCACAACCGCGACATCCACTAAAGGAGTGGGTGGCCAACACCATGCCTGGTCGCCTTTGTCTCCCTAATGGCGATGTTTAAATTTCTCAATAGGTATTCAATATGCATCCACACACATACTTTTACCACGCAGCCTCTCTCACTATTTCCTTCTGTGGCCCATTGAGTTGAGACATTTTTACTTCTGTTTATTTCATGTAAATAAAAGACAACAACAGTGCAGAGTGACACGAGAACGTTACACGATGAAGGGACGCAGGTGGGGAACGCAGAGAACACACGCACCTGCCAAGTGTGTGTGGCTATGCTGCTGGTGTGATGTGCCGCTGCCGTGGTGTATTTGGTGTGCTGCTCGTATGGGGTCCTCATGGTACAATGTAGTGTGCTGCTAGTGTCATATGAGTGGTGTGTGGGGTGCATGATGCGATGCTGGTGTTGGATGCTGCAGGTATGATGCAAATGTGCCACCGGTATGATATGCGTGGTGTGAACGGCATACCACAGGTGCGGTGTTGTGGTGTACCGTACTGCTGGTGTGGTTTTTATGGTGTGTGTATGTGGTGGGGTGGTGCTGGTATGATGCGGTGTGCTGGTGGTGTAATGTGAGTGGTGTGTGGGAAAGTGGTGGGGAGCCTTCTCAGTCCACAGTCAGGGTCTCGGCCTCCGGCTCACTCGCCTGGGGGGCACTGCCAGCCTCACCCACGCCCCCCTTCTCAGCCAGCCACTTGAAGTGCTGCAACACAATCAATGACTCAGACAGGGACACACAGACTTACACAGAGATCCACAGACTTGCATAGAGACCCATAGACTTACACATTGTTACACAGATTCATATAGAGACCAATAAACTTACACAGTGCTACACACACAGAACGGTAGTGTAGGGGAGCGGTAGTGTAGCGATTCGCGTGCCTCGCTAGGAACCCAGCGACCAGGGTTCGTTTGCGCTCACAGCCAACACCATTGACAATTATTTGCGCCGGTCTTGGGCCTCCCCGAAGTCGACTCAGCTTAAAATGAGTACCTGTTGCAATGTGTAACCATAGCCACTCGGGAGGCAAAGACAGCCGGGCATGGTGCTTGGCACCCTCCCCCTCATGCGCCGGGACGTCCTACATAGGTGCTCGCTAACAGCATTTGCCCCAATGGCCTGTGTAGGCTACATGGGAGATCCCTGTGCTTGTGTGAGGCTGCATAACA